TCCACCGGGCTCCTTCATTCGGCAAGCACCACCTTGGTCAGGTGTCACCCTGTTTTCGCCACAGTCTTCTGGGTCTCCTGCTGCACCTCAGCCTTCCACCCCTTTGGCTCCACTGGGCTCCTCATTTGTCTCCTTGGCCCTTCAGACCAGCAAGTCAGTCAAGTCATCTTCCTTTATATAGCGCTTTTAACAATATAGATTGTTTCAAAGCAGCTTTACAGTGATAATAGGAAATTAAAGTAACAGAGATTGTTTTGGCTTTACAGCAGCTCTAGAATAAAGTTATTTTCCAGCTAAAGTTAGTTTTAATTGATTCACTTCCGTCGCAACAATCATTAGTTATTAACTTAGGGGTCGCTAACACGACACCGTTTTAACAGAAAACTCTTAAGTTCTCTCTACGCAAACTTTAAAAACGCGAACCTGTGAGAACACTGATGGCGTGCACATGCGCATTAAGAGTTCATTCTATAGGTCTGTGCGTTTGAATATATGTGTGCAGGCATGTAGTCCTTCCCTAAAAAAACAACCCTCAACAAACTATTTGTCAACAAACTATTTGTCTATAATACAGAATTTTATCGCCTCGGCGTAGCCACGTAAACCGGAATTATCCCGACAACGATTATCTGTACAGAGGTAAAGGGAAGGAGGCCTTCACAGGGGAGAGACTAGTTGACACTTCAGGACTGTATTGTCGTTGTGTCCAGGCGCAGGTCCTTCATCAGATCTGGATACGGCCTGGTTCCGGCGGACTGCAGTAAACCTCGGGATAAACAGAGAGACTAATATTAGCGTAGATACCATTCTTCTTATGATGTAACGAGTACATCAGGATTTATGGGAAGTGTTCCCGGTTCCAGCTGACCTAATCTATGCAGCCTAACATTGAATTAAAGAAGTCTATAGTGTGTTATGTGTATGCAAGGTCAAAGAGATGTGTTTTTAGTCTAGCTTTGAACTGACAGAGTGTGTCTGCTTCTAGGACAATGTTAGGAAGGCTGTTCCAAAGTTTTGGTGCTAAATAGGAAAAGGATCTACCGCCAGCAGTCGATTTTGATATTCTAGGTATTATCAACTGGCTGGAACTTTGAGATCCGAATTTTTGAGACGTGAAGGACTATAATGCGTTAAGAGCTCGCTCAAGTACTGGGGAGCTGAACCATTTAGTGCTTTGTAAGTAATTATCAATATTTTAAAATGTATACGATGTTTAATAGGGAGCCAATGCAGTGTTGACAGAACCGGGCTAATATGGTCATACTTCCTGGTTCTGGTAAGAACTCGAGCTGCTGCGTTTTGGACCAGCTGTAGTTTGTTTATTAAGCGGGCAGGGAAACCACCCATAATAGCATTACAATAATCTAGCCTTGATGTCATGAACGCATTAACTAATTGTTCTGCATTTTTAATTGAGAGCATATGACGTAATTTAGATATATTTTTAAGATGGAAAAATGCGGTTTTACAGATACTATTCACGTGACTCCTAACCGACGATGAAGACTTGACAGAGCATCAAGTGTTAGACAGTATTCTAGGTTATTACGTGAGGAAGTTTTTTGTCCAATCATTAGAATCTCTGGGTTTTTTTCTTCAGAATTAAGTAGTAGGAAATTACTAGTCATCCAATTTTTATATCAGCTATGCATTCCGTTAATTTTGTGAATTGTTAAGTTTCGTCAGGGGGTGAAGAAATATAGAGAGAGTATCATCAGCATAACAGTGAAAACTAATGCCATGCTTCCTAATGATATCTCCTAAGGGTAGCATGTACAGAGTGAACAGCAATGGTCTTACTACTACAGATATAAGCCGACAAATATTACTTCTCTGATAGTAGCTTTGGTTTGGCCATACCATGGTTTCCTACATACACCTAACTAAAGTAACATTACATTAAACAGAGGTAAGACAGTTTGCTGTCCTAAACGGAAATTCCCCTTTTGTCTTTACAAAAAAAAGTACACTTGAATTAGTGCTAAATATTAACCGGAACTCTAAAATCGCAGTTGGTGTGCCCTATATCCACTAGTCTCTAGAATCTAGTCCGTCACTAATCTGACGCAGATTTGCGGTAACATACGAATCCACTTAATCTACTTGGGAAAATAATTTCAGAGTAAGTCAGAATAAATCCAAATGTAACAATTTATTATGTCAGGTAAATGTATCATGCCAATTACGTAATCAGTTCAAAGATAATAAATACAAAACATCAAATGCTCTGGAATAAAGAGAAAAGATGTAAACCTGACATTAGAAAAATACATGATGCTGAATGTCTTGAGGACATTCAGCATCACAGGCTGATCTGGCTAAAGGATCGCGCCCTGAACCCTTTTCAGCATCTCCCTAAATACTCAGACTAGTTTATTTACATGGGGGCACACCCACAGCAGTTAACAAGATATCTCTGAACTCTCCACACCTTATTACCTTTTTGGTTTACTTTTGTGGGAATGAGACCTTTGTACCAGTCACACTGAGACATTTCAAATGATACCAAACATGTATACTACTGTATGATAATTGTTCACATTAAACTATATAGATTTTTGGGTGAATTCAGGTAGAGATGGGTGAAGGGAATGATATGTAAATTAGGAGGTGATCCACTCGAGTGTGATCGTGTCTCGAATGGGGATGTTAATATAGCAAGAGAGTTTTTCCAGTCTTACACCACCCTGGTGGCTAGTTCCTATAACTAAGTTCCTAGATTTACCCGGTGCGAAAGGGGCTAGGGTGTACTCAAAGGTCAAGAGAAATACAATTTCAAAATGTGGGGTTCTCGATCACTGCTTTACACAATGCAGTGATGATGACAGTAAACAGAAATTTAAACAATATAATATGTGCCTGGCCGTGAATAACTTTTTTCGATCTTTTTTTGTGACCACATAACAAATAATATAATTTTCAGCTTCATATGAAATTAGTCATTGCTGACACGTTTGTTTTTTTCCAGTGAAGAGCATTTTTCTACTCTATAGTTTTTCAGTTGTAGTTCAGTAATATTCGGGATGATTGTTGTGTTGGCTTAAAAATGTTATGCAGGGTTAATATGCTCTGCCTACTTGGGGTCTATTAACCTGGACTGTTGTGGTTAAAAAGAAGCAGAATAAAAGGATGGAGTGTTGAGCTACTGCACGTTTGTTTTAGCTGCGTTTTCTTTTATTAGTACTAGTATAAAATACAACAGTGATGCACCACTAATCACTGGATTCTCTCAGTAATTTGTAATACTTTCTCCAAATTTAAACAGTAAAATCACTTTCACATTCACTTGCACGATCACTGTCAAATATGTCCTTGCCACACTTAATTGATCCTGTTGCTATTTTTAACCATTTTATCACATTTGATAAACGATTCTTTCCTTTGCCTCTTCCAAACAGGGGTCATTCCTATGTTTATAGCACACGTGAAAAAGGGTCCTGTGTTTCCAGGGTCCTATGTGTCCCAGATTTATATGGCACATAAATGTAAATTTAAGTTCATCCCCATAAAAACTAGAGTAGATTTTATAAACGTGCCTTAGAAAAAAACATTACTGGTGTGCATCTTGAGACAAAACAATGGCACTTCCATATTTTAAGATATGTCAGTGCAAGTTGGTTTCAGTTAAAACAGCTCAAACATGCATTTTATTGCAGGAATAGGTTTAAGCCTTGTCTTTAAAAATGGGTGAAAATGTTGCTACCATGTTATTAAAAAAAAAAAACATTATGATGAAAAGTGCTGGCTACGGAAGCCCTGAACCGCAACGTAAAAAAAAAAATCTGTAAAAACAAACAACATTCTAGCATTTCGAGATTAAAGTCGAAATATTCCGTGATTAAAGTAAAAATATGTTGAGAATAAAGTTGTAATATTTTGAGAATAAAGTCAAAATTACAAGAATAGTCTTCCGTAGAAGTTCTTAGTTATTTATTTATTTATTCGTGAAGTCGAACTGCATGCTTCTGCCATGGATCTAAATATAATATTAGCTTTTTACTTTTATCTGGGCTTCTAACAAAAGGAAATTCTACAGGTGCTAATCTAACAACATGGCATTACCATTCACGATGCATCGATTTATTGTCCCAGCCCTAATATCAAAGATGGAAGGAGTGCCCTCTGATGGCTATCATAGGAACTCCAGCTGGTAGGCGTGACACTGGGGAACATAGGACCATTTTTCATGTGTTCATTATGTGCTATATAAATCTGGGGAATATAGAAACCTGGGAACATAGGTAGGAATACATCTAAAAACTTCTTATCATTAGGAAATCTGGCTTGAATCCTTCTCAGCTGAGCAGTTTCAGACCTACCTCAAACCCTGCGTTCTTATCCAAACTGAATCTGTAGACTTGCTTCTTAACTACAATCTCATTGGCTTTCTAACAATGTGTGTTACTCTTTCACTCTGGTTTTTGCTCTTCACAAAGAAACTACTCTCCTGAAGACTGTCAGTGATCTTCTAGCAGCTGAGTTTAGTTGTCTTAGATCTTGAACTAAGCATCACATTTGATGTACTCTGCTATCAGCATCTCACTAATAGACAACACATGCTGGGCTTTTCATATCTTAAATTGTGCACCCTTGCATCTTAGTTCATCTCTCCATGTATGCGAGGGAAGTAAATGAGGGCTTGGATTTTATGATTTCTCAAGTGGCACTTCACATGACATGACCTGTTGAAATATGTGAGATTTATGTTTAATTTAAACTTCATTGGTAAAACATGAATTAAAACTATTGTGACAGATGTGAAGGCGGAGGAGAATTTATACATGTCAAGTGTTTCCACAAAACCTCCTAGCATCCTCAGTACGCTTTCTCCATCATTGATCTTCCCCTCCTCACAGTGCAATTTTACAATTGATAAGTTCTTCATCATGGTCAACTTTATTTATCACTGAGGCTAAAATATCTAACTGATTAATTGGAGATGGTGATTGTGTGAAATATTGTGGAATGATAGTTTAAATATTGGTGATTTGTTCCCTCAGAATGAAGAAGTGCAGTTCCTTGAGAGTGAGCTGCAGAACCAGAAACAGAAGTTCTCAAAGCTGAAGAGCTTCACCAAAAGCCTGCTGATCGCTGTGAAAAATAAAGACAGAAAGAAACAGCAGGTAAGGAAACAGTTGGGTTAAACTTTTAGACAGCAATGAAGGAAATCAAATCTTGATCAGTGTGTTTTATCTGTGTTCTCAGGAGCTGTTAGCCAGTCTACCTCAGAAAGTGAACGAGGACTGGGACCTGGGCCTGGAAAATCACAGCATGTCTGGCATAGAGACGCCCACCATCCAGAAAGAGTCCTCTGTATCAGAGGAGGAGGGGGACACCGATCAAATGAGACTATAAATGCAGGGCAGCTTCCACCTCTTCTGTTACTCACATGTGCCACATAGTGCCTGTGGAAACGAACCAATAACTGTTGGATCCTACAAATCATTTTCTATAGCATATCAGACTGCCTTGGCCAGGTCCAGTACTATCAAATAAACGCCACTAAGTCAACACAAGATCTGTGTCTTATTATTTTTATGATGACTTGGAGCATACAATGTTCTAATTGAGATTATAAATAAACAGGTTCAAACAAGCAAGAGTGCTTTTCTGGGATGCGTTTCCCAAAGCCAAATGCGTTTTCTCTTGCAGGTTGCAGAACTTGAGACCATATTTGGCTAACGATTTGGTTTTGGGAAACGCACGCCTGAATGTTGGCACGCCTGGGATTTGGCCATGGCTGCAGGTAATTGCAGCTGTGCTGATATTCAGAATGACAGCATGATTCTATAAGCAAGTAACTTGTGTTTCCAAGTTGGTTTGGATTTTTGTTCATTCTCAGTGAAAACAGCTGCGTCAAACTGTGCATGTCAGCAAACCTCAGTCAGTCTGGAAATGTGTATGCGAGTCGAGCGGAGAGTCTTATTTAGTCACTATGATACAACCATCTGGCTCTAGGTGATGCAACATAAAGAGGGGAGGCCACACATGGAAGTCAATTTAACAGCCAAACATTTAATCAGAAATAAATCTTAATATTAATTCAAAAAAAGAACTAAAAGAAAAATCAATCCAGGGGTGAAGGGGAAAAAGGTGAACGGCACCAGCAGACTTGCTATATAGCTTAGGGTACATTTACACGACAACGATACGCTTAAAACGGAAACATTTTTCTTTTGTAAAATAAGTGTAAATGTGTATAAGTGTAAGTGTGCACTAAGTGTATATAGCCTGTCTTGTTGGCAAGGGCTATTTACACTAACCCCGCCCACCAGTGTCTGGTTGGGCCACACAAGATTAAAAAAGATGCACATACAAAGTGACCTCTGCAAACACATTACTTAAAACCAAAGCATCATAACAATCAACACAATTTATCGAAAGGAAATCCTTCATTTTAATCTTAGGCTCACATACAACTGATGTCACTTACCCTTTCCTTCTCACAACCTCCACCTACCCAAACTCCATCGTTCAGTGCCCTCAGGCACCCTGAAAACACTAAACAGAGTTAAAAGCCAAAGGTAAATGTAAGGGGCACTTATTATAATGTAGAGTGAAGTGCTACCTTTCTAAGGAACTTTTCACAAGAGGAGTAGACAAATGAAAGTACCAAAATAGTTTACTCAGAACATATAGCCGGCATTCCTGTATTTCGTCGGAAGGACAAGCTGATGGATAGGCTCACGTTGACTTATGCGTTTTCGGTATAGGACTTCATCAGAGAAGACCAGTTGCTCCATTATTCTCAACATCAACTGGACCTCTCGATCCTCCTGACGCCTCAACCTATATGGAAGTCGCTTTCTTGCTTTGACAAGCTCTAATACTCTACTGATGACTGGATCTTGCCTTTTTTTTCACGTGCCCAATCTTGAAGTGACATTTGCGGCAACGTACATGACCCAAGTACATCAGCTTGACAGAATTCTACAGAAATGGCAGAGGCCTCAATTGCTAAACATTCCACTGGTACCGGCGTTTGGAAGTCCGGTTCTGTACTTGCGGCTGAGATGTGCTGGTACATCTGACACACTGCCTTCACAGCATCAGATGGAAAATCAGCTCCTCTGTCGTCCTGTAGGAACTGGGCAAGGAAGCGCTGAATGCGATTATCCTCATCCTGAGAAGTGAAGTCAGGTTGGTATTCGTCATGAGGATGTGGACGCCTTGAGAGACCGTCTGCATCTTGGTTCTTCCTCCCAGCTCTATACTGGATGTTAAAGTCAAAGCTGGAAAGGGCAGCCAGCCAGCGGTGGCCTGCAGCATCAAGCTTGGCAGACGTCAGTACATACGTCAGTGGGTTGTTGTCTGTCACAACAGTGAATTTCGCTCCGTAGAGATGATCAAAAAGTTTCTCTGTGACAGCCCACTTTAAAGAGAGATACTCGAGTTTGTGTGCAGGGTATCTTCGTTCACAGCGGTTGAGTCCCCTGCTCGCATAGGCTATTACTCTCAATTTGCCTTCCTGCTCTTGATATAAAGCCGCACCAAGGCCATGAGTGCTTGCATCTGTATGTACCACATAAGGCTTCTTCGGGTCGGCAAACCCAAGGATCAGAGCTGTTGTAAGCTTTTGAATGAGAGTCTTGAATGCGTCTTCGCAGGCCATTTCTCATTAAATGGTCTTCTGAAATCTACACTTGAGAGACGTGTTGAGCTGCTATATGAGGAGGCGGACTTCCTTTTTGGTGGCAGGTAACCAGCTGTTAAGTCGTTCAGAGGCCTTGCGATTTTGGAATAGTCCTTTATGAACCTCCTATAATATCCAGCAAATCCAAGGAAAGACTTATGCTCTTTGATGTTATTAGGCCTAGGCCACGTCGTCAGAGCAGCTATCTTGGCTGGGTCGGTCTCTACCCCAGTAGCAGACACAACATGACCGAGGTATTTAACAGATGTTCTGAAGAATTTACATTTCTCAGGTGACAGCTTTAAGCCAAATTCCTTCAACCTCTGGAGAACTCTGAGTAATCGATCTTCATGTTCTTCAAGTGTAGCCGAGAAAACGATAACATCATCAAGAAAGACTAAGACTTCTCTCAAGTTCATTCCACCCATACAGTTTTCCATTACTCTCTGAAAAGTACTGGGGGCATTCGTAACTCCCTGTGGCATCCTGTTGAAGTCCCAGAATCCCATAGGTGTCAAAAAAGCTGTTTTGCACTTGTCCCCCTCCTCCATTTCTACTTGATAGTAGCCCGACTTGAGATCAAGGGAGGATTAAATGAATATATATATACACTCACCGGCCACTTTATTAGGTACACCTGTCCAACTGCTCGTTAACACTTAATTTCTAAGCAGCCAATCACATGGCGGCAACTCAGTGCATTTAGGCATGTAGACATGGTCAAGACAATCTCCTGCAGTTCAAACCGAGCATCAGTATGGGGAAGAAAGTTGATTTGAGTGACTTTGAACGTGGCATGATTGTTGGTGCCAGAAGGGCTGGTCTGAGTATTTCAGAAACTGCTAATCTACTGGGATTTTCACGCACAACCATCTCTAGGGTTTACAGAGAATGGTCCGAAAAAGAAAAAACATCCAGTGAGCGGCAGTTCTGTGGGCGGAAATGCCTTGTTGATGCCAGAGGTCAGAGGAGAATGGCCAGACTGGTTCGAGCTGATAGAAGGGCAACAGTGACTGAAATAACCACTCGTTACAACCGAGGTATGCAGCAAAGCATTTGTGAAGCCACAACACGCACAACCTTGAGGCGGATGGGCTACAACAGCAGAAGACTCCACCGGGTACCACTCATCTCCACTACAAATAGGAAAAAGAGGCTACAATTTGCAAGAGCTCACCAAAATTGAACAGTTGAAGACTGGAAAAATGTTGCCTGGTCTGATGAGTCTCGATTTCTGTTGAGACATTCAGATGTTAGAGTCAGAATTTGGCGTAAACAGAATGAGAACATGGGACCATCATGCCTTGTAACCACTGTGCAGGCTGGTGGTGGGGGTGTAATGGTGTGGGGGATGTTTTCCTGGCACACTTTAGGCCCCTTAGTGCCAATTGGGCATCGTTTAAATGCCACGGCCTACCTGAGCATTGTTTCTGACCATGTCCATCCCTTTATGGCCACCATGTACCCATCCTCTGATGGCTACTTCCACCATGTCACAAAGCTCTAATCATTTCAAATTGGTTTCTTGAACATGACAATGAGTTCACTGTACTAAAATGGCCTCCACAGTCACCAGATCTCAACCCAATAGAGCATCTTTGGGATGTGGTGGAACGGGAGATTCGCATCATGGATGTGCAGCCGACAAATCTGCGGCAACTGTGTGATGCCATCATGTCAATATGGACCAAACTCCCTGAGGAATGCTTCCAGCACCTTGTTGAATCTATGCCACGAAGAATTGAGGCAGTTCTGAAGGCAAAAGGGGGTCCAACCCGTTACTAGCATGGGGTACCTAATAAAGTGGCCGGTGAGTGTATATATATTAGGGGTGTAACGGTTCACAAAATTCACGGTTCGGTTCGATACGATACACTTGTGTCACGGTTCGGTTCGGTACGATTCGGTACGTTTCCGATACAGCAAAAAGAAAGAAATGCCAGAGAAATTTCCTTGATTTAATCTTTTTAATTATATTTTTATTAAAACTAACATCATAAAGTATGATATTTTTTAACTTTGAGCAATGATGGAGCTATACTTGACTTTTCTTAGGAGCTTATAAAACAAAACAGCTCCTTGGACAAAATTAAATGTAATATTGTAGTAGTTATAAACAAAGGTTTATTTTAGTTCAGATTAACATTTGAGGGCAGCAATTGTATTCATAATGTCAAAATAAAACCGACGTGATGTTACTTGAAAGCATTATAGCCTACTATTCCTGCCAAACTTCCATGGTTACAGTTAGTAGTGTTACTACAGTAAACCCATGGTGAATGTTGCTGATCTGTGGACACTGGATAGTTCATTCATGGCACAATGTTTCTTCCTGGTTTCCACGTCAGCGCTGTTTGATCCGTTAATAACGGAGAAATGCGAATGTTTCTCACTAGATCTTGCAGCGATGTTATTACTTCAGTGGCGAATTCAAATGCTTTCTTTACTGGATTTGGCTGTGTAGTAACAGTGCTGATGATTAAGATCGGCTCGCGCTGTATTTGTCCAAACTGATAAACGGTCCTTCAACCACACAATAACGAGTGGTTTCGTTCCGCTTACATTACATTTGCCATTTGATGTTGGGCAATGTTGTGGTCACGCACATTATGAGCGCGCTTGCCACGCGTGACGCGCCTTCATTTGAAATAACGAAATTTTGGTCGGCAGGAAAAATGGTCCAACGAACCGTTCGGTTCAAAAATGCGTACGGAAAACCGAACCGAAAGCCTCGTACCGAACGGTTCAATACGAATACGTGTATCGTTACACCCCTAATATATATATATATATATATATATATATATATATATATATATATATATATATATATATATTTTTTTTTAAGAGGTTAAGTGCTCACGGAAGAGATGGGTTTTCAACTGTCTTTTGAATGTCGTCAGGGATTCTACTTTCCGGATGAAGGTGGGGAGATAGTTCCACCAGCAAGGCACTATGAACGAGAATGTTCTGGAGAGGGATTTTGAGGCTCTCTGTGATGGTACCACGAGCCGCCGCTCATTGACTGATCGTAGGCTTCTGGTAGGTATGTAGAATCGTAGGAGCGAGTGAAAGTAGGAGGGCGCTGAGCCTGTGGTCAATCTGTAAGCAAGTGTCAACACCTTGAACTTGATGCGAGCAGCGAGTGGTAGCCAGTGCAGAGAGATGAAGAGAAGTGTGACGTGGGCCCTTTTGGGCTCGTTGAAGACAAGACGAGCTGCAGTGTTCTGGATCATTTGTAGAGGTTTAGTTGCACATGATGGAAGTCCAGCCAGAAGAGCATTGCAGTAATCAAGCCTAGAAATTACCAGGGCCTGGACGAGAAGTTGTGTTGCATGCTCAGTTAGGAAAGGCCTGATCTTCCTGATGTTGTGCAGTGCAAACCTGCATGATCGAGCTGTCTTTGTGATGTGGTCTGTGAAGGTCAGCTGGTCATCAAATATTACTCCAGGATTTCTGACCGATCTTGATGGGGTGATTGAGGAAGAATCTAGCTGGATAGTAAAGTCGTGCTGTAGAGACGGATTGGCAGGGAGGACGAGAAGCTCAGTCTTTGCCAGGTTGAGCTGCAGGTGATGTTCCTTCATCCATGCCGAGATGTCCACCAGACAGCTTGAGATCCGTACAGCTACTGTGGGATCATCTGGTTGAAATGAGAGGAAGAGAGGTAAGAGAAACCATGTGCCTGTGTGATGGGTCCCAGTGGAGAGGAGTACCTGTGATGCCCAGTGATGAGAGGGTGGACAGAAGGATCTGATGATTCACAGTGTCGAAGGCAGCAGACAGATCCAGGAGGATGAGAACTGATGATTTGGAAGCAGCTTTCGCGATCTGCAGGGCTTCTGTGACCAACAGTATTGGCGTCTCAGTTGAATGCCCTTTCTTGAAGCCAGATTGGTTGACATTCAGCTGGTTATTCTGAGACAGTAGGATAGATGATACTTGGTTGAAAGAAACTCATTCAAGTGTTTTCGCTATGAATGGTTGGAGAGACTCGTCAGTAACTCTCTACGAGTGATGTGTTTAATGTTGTTTTTTGAATGCTGTAGGGAAAATGCCAGTATGGAGGGATGAGTTGATGATGTGCTGGTAGAAGGTGTGAGGGGATGGGATCTAGAGGACAGGTGGTAGGATGACTGGAGAGGAGAAGTTCAGATACTTGCATTTACTTTTATGCATTTGGCAGACGCTTTTATCCAAAGCGACTTACATTGCATTTCAAGGTACACATTTTACATTCTTATCAGTTCTTGCTTTCCCTAGGAATCGAACCCATGACCGTGGCGTTGCAAGCGCCAACGCTCTACTGTTTGAGCTACAGGAAAGCTATTTCTACCTCGGTTAGTTGGTGTGTTTGGTCTGGGTTCCTGTGTGTGTGGAGCTGAGAACTGCCTGCTGATGGCTGTTGTTTTGTTGCTGAAGAAATTAGCAAAATCATCAGCAATTAAAGAGGAGGTGGGTGGTGGTGGTGGTGGAGGTGGACAGAGGAGAGAGTTGAATGTCTTGAAAAGTGTTCGTGTGTTAGAAGCGCTGTTGATCTTGTTGTGGAAATATGAAGATTTCGCAGCGTGAACATCAACAGAAAAGGAAGAGAGCAGAGACTGATACATACTCAGGTCAGATGGGTCTTTTGATTGACGCCATTTCCTCTCCGCTCCCCTGAGTTTGGTCCGGTGTTCACGAAGACCATCAGATAACCAGGGGTTAGAGGGAGTAGCACGTGCTGGCCTGGAGGAGAGAGGGCAGATATTGTCTAGAGAAGAAGTTAAAGTGGAATATAAAGTATCCGTTGCCGTATTCACATCCAGAGATGAGAACTGTGAGGGTGAGGGAAGAGAAGATGACACAGCAGAGGAAATATGGGAGGGAGAAAGTGAGCACAGGTTTCGTCTGCAAGTAACTGGTAGGGGGGTTGGGGGTGCATGGGTAGTGAGTTGTAGATTGAAAGTAATGAAGAAATGATCGGAAATGTGCAGAGGTTTCACCAAAATTTTGTCTGTGATGCAGTTGCGTGTGTAAACCAGGTCCAGTTGGTTGCCTGATTTGTGAGTACCTGTGGTGATGAGCCGTTTGAGATCGAAAGAGGCTAGGAGAGAGATGAAGTCTGTTGCATCAGGCTTCTCTAGATGAATGTTGAAATCACCAAAGACTACTACAAGTGGGGTGCCATCCTCAGGAAAAGAGGACAGCAGCACATCCAGTTCCTCTACAAAGCTTCCCAGTTGACCTGAGGGGTGATAAATAACTACAATATGGATCTTAATGGAAGTTTTAAATGTAATAGCATGATATTCAAATGAATTGTTATTGCATAGAGAAGAGTGAGTTGAGTATTTCTAATTGTTAGAAATGAGAAATATTTAAATGAATTTCTCTTAACTTGTTTGAAATACAAAATTTGTAGGGAAAAAATAGATTTTTATTTTATTTTATTTTTTATTGAACAAATATGACAGCAAATACATAGTTACATCTCAAAACAGAATTAAACAAAATTAATATAATTATAAACAGTAGACAAAAAGGCAGTAAAAGCAAGTAAAGTAAAAAGCAAGTAAAATAAACAGACAAAAAAAAAACAAAAAAACAAAAAATTGAGTCAGGGGTAACATAATTTTAAATAAATTCAAGAGAGAGAGAAATGCCCTTGAGTCCCTTTTTGTTTTCATTAGAAAAAAAGCATAAAAAATATACTTTGTGCTCAGTTGCTTGATGGGGAAATCCTCCGCTGGGTTGCGTCACAGTGACGTCAGCGCTGCCGTCTTCAGCTCGCGCGGACAGAGACGGCCATATTTGCGGGAATAAGCGAGCGGAGCGGCCCGCGCGGTTTGTGTGCTCCTGCAAATCGCCCGCGTCACTTGATCTTCATGCACATTTAATGGTCACACACGACGTAGAAATGCCTCACGGAATAAGCCTCTAGTCCAACCATATGATATCTTTCGGCCCCGCGCAGGAGTCCTCGCTCAAAATGGAGGTGCAGAGCGTCAGCAGTGAGGTATGTCATATATATGACAACATTCATTGACCAGTATTGATAATCGGTGATTTTAATGACAGTTGTGTGTGTTTTTGGTGATGATGTGAGCGAGCGTGTCCCTGTCGCGCGGGTGCGCGCGCGCAGTGTGGAGACTCGCGTGACGGCAGCGTTAGCTCGAGCGGTTAGCATGTGATAATGATGCTACTCGTGATTCCTGCACAATATTAAATCAAATGACGCTCATATCAATGACATCGTGTTTCTGCATTGTGTAAAACACGAGCGTTTTAATGTAATGAGTTAATGATGATAATGAAGATTAGCCTGCGCTTGTTGATCGGCTTCACCTTATGAGTCATGACTAAAGCGCGCGCACGCGCACACACATGCACACAGTCTCATCTGCCTTCATCTGTTAGTTACACACTGATTGAGCTGTCAACTTAAATCTGTACTCGTATCAGACAAAGGATGTGCGATATTATAGTTTCATCTTTCTCTTGTTTTGTCTGTTATCCGTTCTAATAAACTAACGTTAACTAAATATCTGTATTTCTCTCTATGTCTGTATATGTTAGCCTATTCTTCAGCTGTCTGTTGAAGATAATTTCAATAACGTTACGTAAATATTATTTCTCATAAAGGCTTTCTGTTTTGTTTTTTGGTACTGATATTCTGTTTCTGAAACGCAGATCAGTGTGCACTTGTATGGAGCTATTAATGTGTCTTTATTACATGTGAGAAAATAAATGATCTGAGAGAAAAAAAAAGTTTGAGAGAAAAAGTTTTCATATCAATAGCAAAAAATAATATTTGAGACTAAAAAACGTTTTGAGAGAAAGTATTTTCTCATAGAACATAAAAAAATATAAATTTGAATTTTTTTAAATTATTTCTGAGAAAAAAATCTCTCTCAAAATACTTTGAAAAAAAAAAACTTAAATATATATATTTTTTTGCTATAAGTGTGAAAACATTTTCTCTAAAAAAAGTGTTTCTCTCAAACCGCTTTTCTTTGCTCTCGATGCAATTTTTTGCTCTCGTGTCAGGATTTTGCTTTAGCTGTGAAAATTGTGTCATGGGCGGGGCCACGTTCTTTTTTTCCTATTAGAACGTTCCTATTGGCCAGTCGGTTGAGCACCGTCTTGTCTTGTCATCGGGAGTCGAACTGAATCATTACACCATTGTTCGGTTCACCTAGATAGATGCCTCCTCTGCCTTTAGATTCTCTGCCCGAACCCGAGGTCGGGTCGATATTTCCCGTCACTATCCTCGGGCCGGGCCGGGCCTTTGATCTAGAGACGTGCACTCCCAACGCAAAAAATATCAGTGTGATAACTTTTTCTCTCAAACTTTTTTTTTTCTTCTCCAGATCATTTATTTTCTCGCATGTAATAAAGACACATTAAAAGCTCCATACACTTGGGAATGGACTTATAGTAATGCAGCGTAAACGTTACACAAATCAAACGTAACTGCAACAGTCCTTGTCTTGCTAAACTGTAGGACATTTGCTGAGGTGTGTAAGTGCTGTCTTGTTCATAGCTTTTCCAACTTCGTTTCATAATTGATTATCGATTTTTGCATAATCGACTCTGTTATTGAACTGAATTGAATCAATATTGAACTTTCTCAATGAACTCTTTTCATAATAGTTGAACTTAACGTAGTTATTAAACTGTATTAAATCAACACTGAACTGAATTGATATGATTAATGACACTATATTGTCTATTTGGAACTGCTTTACGGCAGACTTTGCAACATTGATTCTGTTATTTTCCTGTTTATTACGGTGAAGCTGATTTGAAACAATCTGTATTGTATAAAGTGCTATATAAATAAATAGAGATGCATGATATATCGGCATCGGCCGATATATGTTCATTTATCGTTATCGACCCAAAAAGAAAATTTGGGCGATGTGTTAAAGCCGATAAATAACAGATTATTTCCTTCAGCTGAGACGCTTCACTGTTTGCAATGATGGGGTTTTTATTGCTTGAAATATGATCAATCACTTTGAAAAGGAAAATAGTAACAGTTCAGTTGTGCAGCGCAAATAATAAAAATATTTTTTATATATGAAAACCCCAAATTCAAAATTAGAATATTGTGAAAAGGTTTTCATATCTGTAAGCCATAATCATCAAAATTATAACAAATAAAGGCTTGAAATATCTCACTTTGCATGTAATGAGCCTATATAATATATTAGTTTCACCTTTTAAGTTGAATTACTGAAATAAATGAACTTTTGCACGATATTCAAATATTTCGAGTTTCACCCGTATATACGGAGGAGCAGGAGGTATCTAGAACCTGCTCTCAGAATAACACTCGCACACGTGGAAGAAAACGAACAGTCATTACGTAATTTAGTGGAAAATGAATGGAAATGATATTCTGTATAAAGAACATGAGAATAAATCTTTTCTCAGATACCAATGATAACAAGCACTCGGCATCCACTCTCTTCTCTTCTTCGGTGTTTGTCTAAACTGGTTTTGGAAACCAAAAAAAAAATTTGATAGAAAAAATAAGCAGCCCTAGTTTGGTGTGAATGAAAGATAACGGTTTCATGCTGCTGTATTGTGAAAAGCATAATGTGATATTTATGTGTTTGATTTCAGGTTAATGGGCATCAGATCATGGATGAGCCAATGGAGGAGGAGTCCTACACACACTGTGTGAGTAGTTGTGTAAATGCTGGTGCTTGGCCTGTGACCCTCTCAGATCTGCTCCACTTCCAGCGATGTGGGATGATGTTGAATGACCCTTAGAGAGAGCAGGGGGACAATTTAATTTGAAAACAGTGAATAACACATGCCAGGGCTCGATTATAAGGAGTGCCTGATGGCCTGAGACTCGCAAGAAAGATGGGATTATCATCACTGGCTTGATTGGCGTTGTTTTAAAGTCTTGCAAATTAAAACATTCAAGTAATTTTAAGCTATTTAAGCGCAGGATATATGAATGAATGAATATGTGGCCAGTGAACATTGCTACAACAGTGAAATTAGTTTAAATTTTTAGAGATGTGGTGATATGGTTATCTCAGATTTTGGTTTAATATACGATATGAGGTTCACGTTTCGATATATAACAACACTTACACTATACATTATGACAGGAAATTGTTTATTTTTAGAAAGTTTCAGCAAATTATAGTTTCTTATGAGAATAAATGTCTTTAATACACAATACTGTGATTCAATCCTCATCCTCATGTACCAAATCGTGTGTGTGTGTGGGCCACTGCTGTCATTTGTTGGTCTGGAGCTCTGACTGTGTTTTTGTGAATTCATGTTTTAATTTCATTATTTGTGAAAAAAAAACAAGTTTTTCTGAAGTGTATAGTATGTGTGTGTATATCAGTGTTTCCCCTAGGATTTCTTTCGGGGGTGTTACGGATGTGTGGTGTTGTCATAGATGCGGTTGTTTGTATCGGTGCATTTCTAGAGTGAGCTGAAATGACAAGCGCACATAAGTACAAACAACATTTATTTACACATCACACAACAAAATGAAATGGTTTTTTTTTCTCACAAATTCTGTGTTTTTTCTGGTAATCAAATGAAGACATAAAACATTAATTTAATTTATTCTAATCATGTGAAATTAAACACACTTTGTCAAACGACGTGCTCCACAATGAGCTTTACTGTTAGAATTAAAACATGGAAGAAAAATTGTGATTATTCCTTAAAAAAAAAGTTTTGATGATAATTTATTTGTATTAGTGTTAGTATTAGTATTACACTTGAGACGTATCGAATAGCATTCGGTGTGTGTGTGCGTGAGGTAAATGAAACTGCACGTCGTCTGTCACAAAACATTGGTAGGGGAAACACTGTATATTACAAAGTGATTCATTTGAAATCATTTCAATTGTTATGGAATGATTATGTTCAGTTGTTATTGCAGCAATGGTGCATGTGTTATTTGTCATTAAGTTGAATTGTGAGATATCATATACAGTGGTCAGAAAATTTATTTGGACCCTTAAACCACAATAACATATAGGCTATTTGCAATCTTTAAAGGGTTAGTTCACCCAAAAATGAAAATTCTGTCAGTAATTACTCACCCTCATGTTGTTCCAACCCCGTAAGACCTTCGTTCATCTTCGGGACACGAATTAAGATATTTTTGATGAAATCTGAGAGCTGGATCACTCCTCCATAGGCTTCTTCAGGGATTGAACTTGCTGGCCTCGAAAAATTATTAAAGACATTGTTAAAATAGTCCAAGTGACTACAGTGGCTCAATCTTAAGTTTATCAAGCGACGAGAATACTTGTTGTGCGCAAAAACAAACAAAAATAACGACTTTATTTCAACTATTAATTTCCTTCTCTGTGGGCCTCGAGTCAGTTCACTAGAGTAATAGCGTAAGCTTCTGTTGTTGTACGTCACACGCATCACGCACATGACCAGTGTCGGCCAATAGTGAGCCTACGTGTGACGTAGCTCTACGGAATCACACTACGTTAACTGACTAGAGGCCCAAAGAGAAGGACATGAATAGTTGAAATAAAGTCGTTATTTTTGTTTGTTTTTGCGCACAAAAAGTATTCTCGTCGCTTGATAAACTTAAGATTGAGCCACTGTAGTCACTTGGACTATTTTAACGATGTCTTTAATAACTTTTCGAGGCCGGCAAGTTCAATCCCTGAAGAAGCCTATCGACTAGTATGGAGGAGTGATCCAGCTCTCAGATTTCATCAAAAATATCTTAATTCGTGTTCCGAAGATGAACGAAGGTCTTACGGGGTTGGAACAACATGAGGGTGAGTAAATACTGACAGAATTTTCATTTTTGGGTGAACTAACCCTTTAACAAATGATCAAAATGGTGTATTGTACATTATATAGGCTTCTGCTCTTGAAAATATCCATATTCACCATTATCATGCACTTGAAGAGAATAATATGGATTGGTTTTGCATGGTTTGTTTTGATTTGTCACTTGTCCGGATGTCTACAGCTGTGTGTGTGTGTTTGTGTGTGCAGGATGAGGGGGCCTATAAAGAGATTCCCATCACTCATCATGTGAAGGAGGGCTGTGAGAAGGCCGAGCCCAGCCAGTTTGAGCTGCTCAAGGTTTTGGGACAAGGCTCCTTTGGAAAGGTCTCTTATTCTTTTACTTCATGTGTTTATGATAGGGCTGCAGCGGTACACTAAATTTATGGTTTGCTAAAACTTTGGTTCAACAATGAGAACAAAGAATCTGTATTAAAATGATTTATTTTGTAAACGCAATGGCTGACTCATTTGCACATGACTTCACTATGCATGTGACCCCTCTGACATAAGCACTAAAATAACAGTTAGTTATATAATAATAGTTAGTTAAGATTTCTGTTTCATTATGGCTCCTGTATGACTGAGAACGCTCGCATCTGAACGAAACTTTTGAACGTGACGCATTGTCTGAATAAAAAAAGTAAATAAAAGTGGTATTTTCAGGTACAAGTTATTGTTGAAGTTTCAAATATTTTTCTCAGCATCAAATCTCAGGTTTTAAATGTTTTGTTTTCAATAAGCAAAAATCAATTGTCACATGTACAATTTGAGAGACAGGTATTTTTCAGAGCAGCTTTGGGTCTGTTTTGTCGTGGGAACGTTGCTGTGTGTCTGTGCTTATTAAGGGCCCGATATACTTCAAGCGAAATACAACCCCAAACTGATGTGACGTCATTTCGAACAAAATCCGGCCGAAATGAACTTCAAATAAAGTTCGTTTTGGGAATTCGAAACTGCTTGTTTGCCGAAGTTTGCTCCGGCTGCTAAACACCTTAGTACCAGCATTGGTCCGTGGCAAATAATAAGGCTTCGCCTTCGTTCACATGAAGATCTTTTCTGGTTCATTTGGCCTGTGCAGTCGTTCAGGGTCAGACGCCCGTGAGTGAAAACATGAACACACTGGAGAGCTGCTTTATAGTAAAAAAAAAATAAAAAAAAATGCAGTTGTACTGACACTGTTTTTCATGTTTAAAACAGTAAAGCTGCTTGATTTTAAGCTATCTATCATACAAAGTGATCTATAAATAAACGTAACGTGACTTCACTGGAGTGCCGTAAGCTCGTGCAAACATAACCACTTTGCTATATATTTAGATGCTTTATGAAAATGCTTGCTGGTTTTCAATTTAGTTTATTTTGTTCTTTAGAGGAAAGCGCTGCACATATTTACTAGGGGTGTCACGATTCTCCAAATCCTCGATTTGATTAAATTTTCGATTCTAAGGTCACGGTTCGATTCGATTCTCGATTTTTACATTTATTTTTTTAAAGCCGAAACCGGCCAACCAGGATGCTCTCTGTCTTACATGCGCTTCATGAGGCACACACGCAAGGTCTCTCGCTCTCTCCCTCTCTGCCGTGCGCGCAATACGGTTTGGAGCACAGTTTTTTTTCTGTCTCGCATGCGCGCTCTTGCTCGCTCACTCTAGATTCCGGTAGATTTAACTAATTTGCGGGCATCAGGGAACCGCTATCAATATGCGGGAGACTCCAGGAACTTCCGCGAGACTTGGGATGTCTGCAAAGTAAACTGTGGCTTTTTTGAAGCGCGAACGTTGTCAACATAACTCACTGGAAATCCAGAAAACTTCCACACCTGCGACTTCAATGAAAGAGGAGGGGGTTCAAGTTCTGTCGATGGGTCTCCTGCATCTGCAGTTGCCATGCTATCTTTTAAATGGCTGTAGCTAAGTTAGAGGAGGTTGACCATAGACTCGCAGCACTTCAACACGCGTGTTTTCCCCGCTTGGCACGCTGACCGGCCGTGACATGGGGGCGTGGCAGCATCGACAATTCCATTTTTTAATTTGAAGTTCGAGATTGTGAATTAATTTCAATCGATTGACACCCTTAATATTTACATATTCATCCAACGGTCGCCCCAGCAGAGTCGGCTGTGTCAGGTGTTGGATAACTGTATATCTCTGCTCACGTATTTCAAACTACGTTTTACCCTTAAACGAAGAAGTACTTTTCCGTGAGTATATCGGGGCCTTAGAATACAATCACATATTTGGGCTTGACGCCCACAGCACAATAAAATATTGGATTGTTAAGATCAGCTCCAACCCTAATCAATCACACCTGCCTGGTTATAGTTGGGATGAGGTTTCTTTCATTCATAAATCCAACTTTAGCCAGAACGATCTGTTTTGAACTCTTCCCCGTGTCTTCTGGACCATAGAAGGAAACACTGTCAAAGGGGTCAAAAAATGACTTGCAGCAACATCTTTACATACGCCTTCATGTACAGGAAAGCCCATGAATAATGCCTCATAATATCTCAGATATAGTTATTCTTTATAATTAATTATTTAGAATGTTTAGCACATTATAAATAAAAAAAGGGTCTGCACTTTTTTCAGAAGAAACTTTTTATTTTCCTCATATTACTTTGCAATGTGTGGAAAGGAAAACCGGTCTGTTTTACAATGCTGTATAAATGCTAAAATAATCAAAACTGTATTAATTCTGTATTAAGTAGCTGATCTACTATGCCTCACTATTTCTAAAATAAAGTAGAAGAGAAGAAGTTTTACAGACCTGGTGTAATCAGTGCAATAATGAATTGCTACATCAGGTGGCTAAATGAATGTGATCATGAATTCATCTGGATGAGTTGGTTTCAGTTATTAAAATGCAAGTAAACAAAACAAACTGAGACAATGAACTAAACATGCTGAGAGAAGGAAATGGGAATATATTACATTCACATTCTTTCTCCAACAGAGAAGTTTCTGATGCATTACATTCAGGCTGTTCAATTGTTAAGAAAATAGCTAATTCGAAGCACATTGTTTTTTATTTCTTTCTCTCCTTCCCTTTCTATTACTGGTAATACTAGATCTACTTAAAGGGTTAGTTCACCCAAAAATTAAAATTCTGTTATTAATCACTCCCCCCTCATGTCGTTCCAAACCTATAAAACATTCGTTCATCTCCAGAAGACGAATGAAGATGTTTTTAATGAAATCTGAGAGATTTCTGTCCCTCCATTGACAGCTACGCAACTACTAGTTTGACGCTTCATAAAGAGATCGTAAAACTAATCCATATGAATTGAGCGGTTTAGTCCAAATTTTCTGAAGAGACTCGATCGCTTTATATGATGAACAGATTTAATTTAGGCTTTTCTTCACACATAAACATTCATCAACGCACACATCAGTTGTGGTAAACAGAAGCTCATGCATGTTCGCCTGACCTGAGAGAACCAATGAAGTTCATTCTCGTGTTACGCAGCACGATTGAGCTTCAGGAAGAACCAATGAGGTTCATTCTCGTGTTACGCAGCACGATTGAGCTTCAGGAAGAACCAATGAGGTTCATTCTCGTGTTACGCAGCACGTTTGAGCTTCAGCAAGAACCAATGAGGTTCATTCTTGTGTTACGTAGCACATTTGAGCTTCAGCAAGAACCAATGAGGTTCATTCTCATGTTACGCATCACGTTTGAGCTTCTGCAAGAACCAATGAGGTTCATTCTCGTGTTACGCAGCACGTTTGAGCTTCAGCAAGAACCAATGAGGTTCATTCTCGTGTTACGCAGCACGTTTGAGCTTCAGCAAGAACCAATGAGGTTCATTCTCGTGTTACGCAGCACGTTTGAGCTTCAGCAAGAACCAATGAGGTTCATTCTCGTGTTACGCAGCACGTTTGAGCTTCAGCAAGAACCAATGAGGTTCATTCTCGTGTTACGCAGCACGTTTGAGCTTCAGCAAGAACCAATGAGGTTCATTCTCGTGTTACGCAGCACGTTTGAGCTTCAGCAAGAACCAATGAGGTTCATTCTCGTGTTACGCAGCACGTTTGAGCTTCAGCAAGAACCAATGAGGTTCATTCTCGTGTTACGTAGCACATTTGAGCTTCAGCAAGAACCAATGAGGTTCATTCTCATGTTACGCATCACGTTTGAGCTTCAACAAGAACCAATGAGGTTCATTCTCATGTTACGCATCACGTTTGAGCTTCAGCAAGAACCAATGAGGTTCATTCTCGTGTTACGCATCACGTTTGAGCTTCAGCAAGAACCAATGAGGTTCATTCTCGTGTTACGCATCACGTTTGAGCTTCAGCAAGAACCAATGAGGTTCATTCTCGTGTTACGCAGCACGTTTGAGCTTCTGCAAGAACCAATGAGGTTCATTCTTGTGTTACGCAGCACGTTTGAGCTTCAGCAAGAACCAATGAGGTTCATTCTCATGTTACGCATCACGTTTGAGCTTCAGCAAGAACCAATGAGGTTCATTCTCGTGTTACGCATCACGTTTGAGCTTCAGCAAGAACCAATGAGGTTCATTCTCGTGTTACGCATCACGTTTGAGCTTCAGCAAGAACCAATGAGGTTCATTCTCGTGTTACGCAGCACGTTTGAGCTTCTGCAAGAACCAATGAGGTTCATTCTCGTGTTACGCAGCACATTTGAGCTTCTGCAAGAACCAATGAGGTTCATTCTTGTGTTACGCAGCACGTTTGAGCTTCAGCAAGAACCAATGAGGTTCATTCTCATGTTACGCATCACGTTTGAGCTTCAGCAAGAACCAATGAGGTTCATTCTCGTGTTACGCATCACGTTTGAGCTTCAGCAAGAACCAATGAGGTTCATTCTCGTGTTACGCATCACGTTTGAGCTTCAGCAAGAACCAATGAGGTTCATTCTCGTGTTACGCAGCACGTTTGAGCTTCTGCAAGAACCAATGAGGTTCATTCTCGTGTTACGCAGCACGTTTGAGCTTCAGCAAGAGCCAATGAGGTTCATTCTCGTGTTACACAGCACGTTTGAGCTTCTGCAAGAACCAATGAGGTTCATTCTAGTGTTACGCAGCACGTTTGAGCTTCAGCAAGAACCAATGAGGTTCATTCTCGTGTTACACAGCACGTTTGAGCTTCAGCAAGAACCAATGAGGTTCATTCTCGTGTTACGCAGCACGTTTGAGCTTCAGCAAGAACCAATGAGGTTCATTCTCGAGTTACGCAGCATGTTTGAGCTTCAGCAAGAACCAATGAGGTTCATTCTCGTGTTACGCAGCACGTTTGAGCTTCTGCAAGAACCAATGAGGTTCATTCTCGAGTTACGCAGCATGTTTGAGCTTCAGCAAGAACCAATGAGGTTCATTCTCGTGTTACGCAGCACGTTTGAGCTTCTGCAAGAACCAATGAGGTTTGTTCTGTTTGTTCGCCTGATCAATGTTTATATGTGAATAAAAGCCTAAATTAAATCTGTTATATAATACATTTTCTCCAGTTAATTCTTTTTATTTTAGTGTGAAATGAGACCTGAAATGAGTTTCTTCTGATGACTGACTTGAATTTTTCCATGTTGCGAACAATCAAGTTCTGTTATCCTGTATGCTGATATTAGGAAAGTTGTATGTCTGCTTTCTTGTGTCTGTAAACTGGAAGGTGATCTGTGAACTGTCCTGACCTCAGGTGTTTCTGGTGCGCAAGTTGATGGGTCCGGATGCCGGTCAGCTTTATGCAATGAAGGTGCTCAAAAAGGCATCTTTAAAAGGTCAGTGATTTGTCTTCATTAGTGTGAGCAACACATTTCTGCGACGGTATACTCATGTTTATTCATTATTTGTGTACGTGCATGTTGTGTTGCAGTGAGGGACAGAGTTCGCACTAAGATGGAGAGAGATATTTTGGTGGAGGTCAATCATCCTTTCATTGTGAAGTTGCACTATGGTAAGACTCAGATGATTTGTGTTTCTGAGTAATAGTTACTGGGTTGTTTGTTCAACTCCCAACACGTTTGGAAAGACGTAGCTTTGTTTTATTTAGTGAATGGGAGCAATTCAATTGTTGCAGACAATTTGCTATGAAAACATGAAATGTACTTGTTATTGTCTTATTTTGTGTGGTTTTAGAGCCCAAAATCAGGACAAACATTTCTAAAGTATAAACCAAAAAGGCAGTAGACCAAACTTTATTTTGAAAGATCAAAGCTTAGCTGAGGTACAGCCTCACCGACCGTACTTTGGTTTGCTCAGCCCTGTCCAATGACCATTTGAGCTAATTTCAGTGGGAGTAGTGGGAAACAAATCCCCCAAATACTACACAATCCAGATTGTATGCTTGGCATAGAAAGTTTCAATTTATTTGTATGAATATTGTTTTTATAAACTTATAAACGTTATGGGCGTGACCAGGGTCCGAAATTAACTTTTTGGCTCACCTGCCACGGGGACTGGTAGATGAAAAAATCCACCAGCCAAGCATATTTTTTACCAGCCAAAATAATAAACAGCCTTTTTGTGTCACATATACATCAATTTTTATATAGGCTATATTTAAACATTTTTGTCATTATATTTCTGGTCTATTATTTTCCATTCTTACTTTTATTTACACACAATTTACACACATTAAAATAATATTTTTGTGGTGGTGCCTATGAAAATAGTTCTGTACAAATGAAATGTATTAATTGTATATTTAATAAAATGTATGCAATAATAATATATTATAATTATTTAAAAAAAATATTTAGTTTTACTCTGCCTATTTTTTTACTCCATTTACTCTGACTGATCCGATCAGTAACTGAAGGACTGGAAATATCAGTTGTTTAACCATTCATTAAAATGAATCGGTTCAAAGGAGTCATTAGTTCGCGAATTGGACGTCAGCAAGGACATCCCACAAGATTTGTGTCAACACAGAAAACATTTCATCACTGGATAGGTTTTTTAGTTTATTTAAAGTGTGGTTTATGTCAGCTGAATGTGCGGAACGCTTTTCAGAGAAGATCAGGTATTTTAGCACAATTCACACCCAGCGGTAATTCAGGAAAAAAATATATCCGAATCCTCCACATGAAACTATGGTCTTCCGACCTTTTACCATCGTGTCGATTTATTTTGATTAATATGTGCCAGGGAGAGAGAGCAAGACAGCGCTTAGAGTCGGTGAAGCCTTGTTTATACTTTCGCCTGGCTCCGATGAGAAAGAGTGTGCGCGCGCGACCAGGCTCTCTCTCTCTGCTCGTTCTTCAGTTGCGCCCTGTCACTTTCAATTCGCCTTTGGCTAATTCCCATCCCGCAAACACAACAACTCCGTCATGTCCGTAGCCATCATGCCAGATATTTTATAACATTACAAAATGCAATTGTAATAAACATTTTATTACATATTTTGGTATGGACATTCACCCGCCAGTGGGACGGATAGCCTTTTGAGATTTACTCGCCAAACGGAAAATCTACCCGCTTTTGGCGCTTGGCAGGTGTTAATTTCGGACCCTGGGCGTGACGCATCACTGAAGCCCAGTGACCTCGTAAATCTGACCCTTATAAATTCAGAAAGCAGTGTTGTGACATAGTATGTATATTCCTCAGACATTGTCTTGTCTATCTGTAAAATGCTAATTGATAACATGAAGTGTCCTCTTTATGTCTTGCAGATAATCTAGTTAAGTAGATAATCGACTTAAATCCATTAAATAACACTTCAATACAGTTCATATGGCCTTAAAGGAACTAATTAAAATAAGTTGTTTTATCCTTTGCTTTATTGTTTTATGGTATGGTTGACTTTTCCATGGAATTACCCATGATTGACTTCTAGGTGTGATTTATCTGATTTTTTTTTCTCCCCCACTTTCTTACAGCCTTTCAGACAGAAGGGAAACTCTATTTAATTTTGGATTTTCTCAGGGGTGGGGATGTATTTACTCGTTTATCCAAAGAGGTAAGCATCGTGTGATCTACTCTAACAGTTTCTGTGTCTGATTTATGATGTTGATGTTAACAGACTAACAGCTCCTTTTATAACTATGTATTGCTATTTCCCCCCTCAACAATTGATTGTTTGTAATCCAAATGTCTTATAAAGTGTAATGTCCTCTGCCAAATTTTCACTTGTGTTCATTTGCAGGTTTTAAATGCTTTAGATTATAAACTTGAGGCCTATTCTCACCCAGAGCAATGCAACCAGTAAATGCACCAAAATGATATACAAATAACTCAGAATTTCATCCAGAGTGAAATTGTCTTGCGTTCATTTACATGCTTGAATGCTGGACTCATTTGACAAAGTACACCACTATTGTTAAACTGTACTCTACCACAGAAAACTGATTTGCTTTTGCAGTCAGTGTGTCGGGGTGCATAGATGAGAACTTGTCGCAGTGAAAATTTGTGTTCATTGTTAACAGGCCTTTAGTCTGTATGCATTGCCAGCCCTTTGTGTGTTTCAAGCACTTTTTCTATTTATTTGTTTGTCTATTTATTGTACGTTTTCTGTATTCTTAACAATGTTGATTCATGTGCTCAATCGCCAGACAAATTGCAGAGTTTACTGGGGCTCTGATGTAGCATTTCATCAAACCACTCCCTTATATTAGGGAATGAGGCATATTTCAATACAGCTTCTGTGTGGCAATTCATCTCTACACAGATTTGCTAGGTTTACATGCAACCTATTAATACATTAGTAATCGGATTGGTGGCTCAATCAGATTGAAAAGCTTTTATGTAAGCATCGCAGTCAATCTCATTGAGCTCAGTCAGAATCAAATTTTGATGGGATTGATCATGATCCCATCAATAATCTGATTGAAGAGAAAAAAATGCTTGAATCTGACTATTTTCTCAATCGGATTCAAAAGTAGCTTGCTTGCACAGTGCCCTGATGCGCAGTTTACTTGTGAACGTGTGTATGTATTTACGTCTTACAAACTGGTCAGTGGAGGAGACTGAATATTTAGTAAAAAAAACTCTTCTGACATATATGTTGGCTTTCTTTTTAGATGTCATCAAGGCAAAAATGACAGTTATACTGACGGTAGCACTAGTGACATCTGAGTGCAGTGACTGGGCACTATGCATGAAGTTTTGCTCAGAATATGTAATGCACATGACATGTGAGCGAATATGTGAATCTGATTGCAACATTTAGGGTCTTTCAGAATATTAAATCTTATTGGATTCATTTGGAAAATTATTGAATGTAAACACACCTAATGTGTGCCCTTCAAATGCGTTTTTCAGCTGTATTTGCCAGTAATGCATTGTTTAAATAGAAAAATAATGTTCATTATTTAAAATAACTCTGCAAATTCCTCAAGTAACAGAGAAAAAATAATTGATTGTATAGCGTCCATTAATTGTTAACCCAACATTAATATTCATTTCAAACAAATATGCTTGGCGTATATCCATCTTTTTCTTTGTCGTTATGATAATGTGTATTATATTGTTGTTGTGTGTGTGTATGTGGTCTTTGATGAGAGAGTAAATTTGTCCAGTTCTTACTAGGTTATGTTTACAGAGGAGGATGTGAAATTCTACCTTGCAGAGCTGGCCCTTGCATTGGATCATCTACACAACCTAGGCATTGTTTACAGAGACCTGAAGCCTGAAAAGTAAAGTATCCCCCTTCACCTCTCTGCATTTCTCTCGCTCCCTCTCTCTCTGTGTGTGTAGAGTAGAAACCATACTCTCTCTCTCTCTCTTTCTGGCATTTCACCTGCCCTCTCTTTTTGATCTTTTATTAAAGCTGCAGTCCGTAACTTTTTTGGGTTAAAAATGATCCAAAATAATTTGAGCAAGTACATAACCAGCCAGTGTTCAAAACTCTCTGCTTGCCGTAGCTCGATTCAAAGTGGTAAGCTTGTAATAATGTCTTTAATTCCAGTGGGACTGTAGATTTTCCGCGGGACATTCAAGCATGTCTTTGCGTCATTACGTCACATCTGTACACACAGTCAAGTATAGTCACCTTCATTTATATAGCGCTTTTAACAATATAGATTTTCAAAGCAGCTTTACAGTGATAATAGGAAATTAACATAACAGATTGTTTGGGCTTTACAGCAGCTCTAGAATAAAGTTATTGTCCAGCTAAAGTTAGTTTTGATTGATTCACTTCCATCACAACGATCATTAGTTATTAACTTATTGAACTTAACATCAACACGACACCGTTTTAACAGAAAACTCTGTTAAAGAGTGGTGTAGCCACGTGAACCGGAATTATCCCGACAATGATTATCTGTACAGAGGTAAAGGGAAGGAGGCCTTCACAGGGAGGGACTAGTTGACACTTCAGGACTGCGTTGTCGTCATGTACAGGCGCAGGTCCTTCATCAGATCTGGATCCAGCGGACTGCGGTAAACCTCGGGATAAACAGAGAGACTAATATTAGCGTAGACGCCATTCTTCTTATGATGTAACGAGTAAATCAGGATTTATGGGAAGTGTTCCCAGTTCCGTCTGACCTAATCTATGCAGCCTAACATTGAATTATAGAAGTCTATAGTGTGTTGTGTATGCAAGGTCAAAGAGATGTGTTCGTATTTTAAAGAGAACCAGTTCTAAGGAACATTAATTTGTTGGTATGACAATTAGAAATTAGACTGCACAGAAATGGGAACTGAACTACAGGTAGCCCTAATACACATTAAATGTAGTCACGCAATGCTAATGTTGTTAACAATAACAATTTGAGAACGAAGTATAATTTGCACGGTTTGACGTGATATGATAAGCGATCGTTAGATTCAATCAGCGCGATTTACTGTAATGCTTTTTCCCCTTAGTTGGTCAGAACAAAAGTGGATGTTACTTGTTCAGATGGCATTTTCCGGTGAAAATTCTTATGTTGGTCATACTTGCAAAAAGTATAATCTGTTATTCTGACAGCCGCACACTCTCCTCAAAACATTGTGTTCATCCGCGCTGTGCCGTGCCGAGGCACAACCCACGTAAAGTTGATAAATCTGCGAATAACTGCAATTGCAGATTTCGAACAGAGATGGCGACAAAGAGGAAAAAATACGGACTGCAGCTTTAAGTAAGGATGGATATGTCTGACAGAACCAATGTGCAAGATTATAATCGAGAGGTTTTGAATTCTTCGTCTGATTTTGTTTGTTGACTCTTGTTTAGTTCATGTATATTTGTATCTGTATTGGAGAAATGTGGTCTTAATTTTCAGCATTTTGCTTGATGAAGCTGGACATATCAAGTTAACAGGTACGTACCATTGTCCCCTTATTACATTACTTCCCTGCCTGTTGAACTTGTGCATGTAGATGGACGCAAATTTGCAATGTATTACATGTACTGTTAGCGTTTCACCCTGAATTATGGTGTGTTTGGGTCGTGGTCAGATGGGGATCTTTGTCAAACTCTGCCACTGGAGCGCAGCTGTTAGGGCTGGGTATCGATTCAGATGTCCCGATTCCGATTCACAAGATCTCAATTCGATTCTCTAATAAATTCGATTGAATTTGATTCTCATTTTTCAATTCAATGAATTAAAGGATTACATTTTCACTGGCCCCACCACAAAAAAGTAATAAATGAATAAAATAGTTCTTGTTTTTGACGATGTATCCTTGTGTTGTAATAAATAAGGTTATGACACCCACAATTTTAGATACCAGTGAAATTTAACAATTCTCGATTCCAATTTCAATACCACAGCTAAACCTACTAAAATACATTTCAAAGATTATTCAAAACAAGTAAACAGTCATTAATAAAAAAAAAAAGACAAATTAAATACAAGCAATAACACAAATAAATAAATGCAATAGAACAAAGTAGGGGTGTGACGGGTTCACAAGAACGTGGCGATTTTTGCACAATTTTCCAGAAATCCTCAATGACAAAATTCATGACTAGAAAAATTGTATACAGCTTCATTTCGAAATGTTTTAACTAATCTTTTAATGCATGCAATTTCTAGTCTACTGTATGAGTATGAATTATCAAATGCATTGAAAGAAAACCATATACAAGCACTGTAAAAAGTTTTACTGACTGGCTTTTCTCCTGTATGATCTCACATGAGTCTCTTCAGACCTTACTGTACATTTATGAGCTTTCAGAACTTCTGATTGAGGCTGTGTGAGAAGACCTAACTGAACTCCTTTACACAAATTGAACACAGAAATAAAAAGAGTATAAATAACAAAAATAAATAAGTTTTCTCTTAGTCTTATTAAGTGCAAACAATAAGTGCAAGTGGAACCATAATCAAAGTGCTGTAGCGCACAGACTCTTTATTAGGGGTGCACGATTCAGAAAATGTCACGATTCGATTCGATACCGATTTTTTGTCTCAAGATTCGATTCAAAATCGATTTTCGATTCAAAAACGATTCTCGATTCAAAAAACGATTCGCAGTATATAAATGTAGTTTACTTTTTCCTATGTGATTGATTGCAGTAAACACAATTTAAAAGAAAAAAAACACAACAAATTAAATGTAGTTTGATATTACTTTGTCTTCAAACAAAAATAAAAACTTTTGCAACTAAAAAGTGCAAAGTGCCAAGCTTTGGCCAGCTTTCAAATACATTTAATTCAAGTTTAAAATAAAACTTAAATAAAAAGCTTTTACATTTAGCTTTAAAGTGCTGTAGTCAGATCAAACAAACAATTATGCTAAATGTGGTTTAAGGACTACTTCAGCTACCAGGCTGACTGTTGAAATGTGAACTCGACTGGACACATTGAACTTCCTAAAAATATACTAATGTCATAGAACCCTTGCGAAATAGTTTTAAATAGATTTTAAAAAGCCACCGCTACTGGTAACATCTATGGTTAGATTGATTTGTTTAGATCCAGTGAAGTCGTTCATAGGCGTAATTTGCGGGTATCTCCAGTTAACTAGCAGAGCATTTATTTAGTTCGCTATTAAATAAGAGATCTGTTGTTTTTGAAATCAAGCTGAGCGCTGTCAGCGCTCGTTGTCGCTGCTATCAGTGTCATGGATACAGTGTTCTCTGTGGCTCGCGCAGTCTTCACTCGGACGCGCGCTTCATATCGCCGTTGTGGTTCCGGTGAAATCTCAAAATAAAATGCACACAAACGTGATGAACATATTCGGTTTTGATGAGAGAGAGAAAAAACTATACGAGTGCGGTTTAGAACCCGTAACCTCTGACACGCTTGGCAAAAGATCTACAGACCATTAAGAACTCAAACATAATCAGCGGATCGATGCATTTATTTACGGGTTGAGCAGAGAGGCTGCACAGTTTGACCAGCGGGCGGCAAGAACTTGCAATGTAACTATTTATCAGACCGGCCCTCGCAGCCTCGAAACACTACCGAACCACCGGTAAAAGTCCCGACTCACCCGATTGCCACTCCGCCCGTGCACGCCATAAAAAAAAAAAAAAAAAAAAATATGAATCGATTTTTGGAATTCTATGAATCGATTCTGAATCGGTAAAGATTGAATCGCGATTCAAATGTGAATCGATTTTTTTGCACACCCCTACTCTTTATCATTGTTGTGAAATTGCATTTTGCAATTTTATTTTGCACCGGCAGTTATAGGGTTAATGCGGTGAGTTCGGTAAAGGCCGGGTCGAGAGAAACGAGCGAGTGCGTTTGTGAACAGCCTCCCTTGTCTGTCGTTCTTCAGACGTTACAGTACTCTCTCAAAATTCAAAGTGCAAACAGAGACCAGAGCCACAACAACACCGTCCAGAGATTCTTGCTGCACTAATTGAGACGGCAACTCATGCTGGATGAGCAGAGCAGACTTTTACATTAGTTTATAATGGTTTTTATTTTTGATAAAAACAGCAAAACAACAGTTGAGGCGAATGTGAGTGTAGCGGTGGAATATTCGATGCTTATTTCACCCTCACACTCCGGCACGGCGATATCGCGAGACAGCTTTTCACTCGACGGGAAATCGCGTCACATTTTAGATCTCGGGAGATCTCGGGGTCACACCCCTAGAACAAAGATACAAATGAAATAATCAGTGCTTTAAAGGTTTTACAGGTTGGTCTAACAGTAGTTCTCAGGTACAGAAATCGAATAAAGTATACATTCAAATGTTCAAATGTAAAATAACTGCATATCTTCACGGTACAAATTAAATAAAGGTTAATCCTTATTACAAAAACGTTATTCAGTGAAAAGCAGTTCTAAGGTTTACTTAAGCCATAACCTACTGTGTTTACTTGGATACTCACAAAGGCGGGCATTTTCAGGTAAATTTGTGTGAATTTGTCCGTTTAAGCGCAGGGAGACGTGAAAGAGAATTCATTTTATTATTTTGAGAATCATATCGCTTTTCAGAATCGATATGGAAGCGAGCATATTTTAAAAAACGATTAATCGAAAAATCTATTGTTTTACCCAGCCCTAGCCGCCATCCTGCAGACATAACACCAATTTTCAAGTAAACTCTGCAGGACGGTGTCTCTCCAAGAGCAGAGTTCGACACCCCTGCTTTAGCTTTGTGACTTGATGCAAATATGACTAATGTGCTGATGTGCCTCTTGCAGACTTTGGGCTCAGTAAAGAATCCGTAGATCAGGACAGAAAAGCGTACTCTTTCTGTGGCACTGTGGAATATATGGCCCCTGAGGTGGTCAACAGGAGAGGTCACACACAGAGTGCTGACTGGTGGTCTCTCGGCGTCTTAATGGTAGGAGCTCAGCACAGCAACAACTCCCCTAATGAGCATGTTTGGAAAATGCCAAGTTATATATTAGGGATGAAACGGTTACCGGTTTGACAATAAAACCAGGATAAAATTCCTTTACTCTTTCAGTATTTTTTGGACATTTTCAGCACATTTTAACAATACTGTGTATACTTTTTTGGCTGTGCATACTGTGTGTAATTTAACATTTAATTGAATATTCAACAATAATATTAATCTGCCTGCATTGACACTATTATACAAGAACTGAACTGGACGATGACATCACGGTTTACTCCAGAGCGGCTATATATATATATATATATATATATATATATATATGAACTAAATTAATAACTTTTTTTTAAAAACAAAAATGAAACATCTCTGAACTTAAGCTGGACTGTGACACTATTTTCTTCTGGAAAAAAACTTTGTTGCATTATTTTCCTGTTATCTCTGTAAAGCTGCTTTGAAACAATCTGTATTGTAAAAAGCGTTATATAAATAAATGACTTGACTGTGCAATATTGGTAACATGATCATTTTGGTCACTATAATCGTGAAATGACATATTCATACCGTTTCATCTCTTTTATATATGCAATACTGTTCTCTGAAGCAAAGGAGCAAGGTGCAACACGGAGAGCATCACAGTTATCGTGATGAACGCAGGATGACCTGTCCGAGCGGGAAGGACTTGCTTAAGGGTTAGGAGCACAGCTTAGCACAATTGATGTAGAGTCTGTGCTGCGGAAATATGCTAATATGGGACAGTCCGTCAGTGGTCGTGGGCGGAGCATAAGCAATATGACATCATATTGCTCAGAGAATCCAAAAAGCTTGATTATTGAGTGTTTAGGCTTTTTGAGGATTAAAAAAAAAAAAGGAGTGAATGGATTTTTTTTCATTGTATGGTGGTTGTGTCCACACACTGCAAAGACACATTTATATGCAAACACCATATAAAAGTGAATTTTGCATCCGATGACCCCTTTAAAGGCGTTTTAAAAAATCTGGAAAATGTTCAGCATATGATGAAAAAATTATCTGGAAAGATGGATATGACAGTTTGATGCCGGGTAATTGAAGGAGTGTTAACTAGCGCTAGGGTTAGATTTTTATTGAGGTGAGTGCCTGGTCCGGTAGGGCTCAAGTGTGTTAGGGAGTCTGGTCTTTATGTATTGACAAAAAACACTGAGACATTTGAGGCATCTTTAGTGTGATGTCTATAGTAGATAGTCTTGATATCTGTGTTACCAAGTAAATTGACTGAAAGAGGACATTTACCTTAAAATCACATATTGGATTCCCAGACAATCGTGCTTTGATAATTTGCCCAAGTAAATGCGGCTTGTCGCCTTGTTTGATGGTTGATTTTTTTTTTTTCCAGTTTGAAATGCTGACCGGCACATTACCGTTCCAAGGAAAAGACAGGAATGAGACTATGAACATGATTCTCAAGTGAGTGTGGCTGTTAAATCATGCCAGTCTATGTGATGCTTAATTGGTCAAATCTCTTCTCAAGGCTGCCAGATAGAAAAATGTAATTGACAGGTAAACCAAAGAACCAATAAGGAACACTGCACAGTTCATTGGTGTAGTGGTCATGATGACCATGCACATAAAAAGCTGGTAATGTTGCTTTTTCTAATTTCTTTTTTCTTTTCCTGTTCCTGTACATCAGAGCAAAGCTGGGAATGCCACAGTTTTTGAGTTTGGAAGCACAAAGTCTTTTACGAATGCTCTTCAAAAGAAATCCATCAAATCGTTTAGGTAAGTCACCTGTGTTTCTTTTCACAGTTTGTGAAAACACTAGACCATGGGTTGTTGAATTTGAATAGAAACAAACTGTTGGTAGTGGTGTCACCAGTATGGTAATCAATCATAACTGGTCTGTTGCAGGAGCAGGTCCTGACGGAGTGGAGGAGATCAAACGACACACGTTTTTCTCCACCATTGACTGGAATGTAAGAATCTGTTAACCCCAGTTGCACATTGCTCAATTGCTCCATTTCTTGAGTGTGTGTGGTCAGACGGCATGTCAGATCAAGCTGTGTTTGACTTATGATCACATCACTTGTGTTTGATTAGTGGTTACACTTTCACTATATGGACAAAAGTTTTGGGACACCTGACAATTAGACCAACAGGGATTGTAAAGAAATTGCATTAATATGGAGTTGGTCAGCTCTTTGCAGCTATAACAGCTTCCACTCTTCTAGGAAAGCTTTCCACAAGATTTTGGAGCGTTTCTGTGGGAATATTTGCCCATTCTTCCAGTAGAGCATTTGTGGTGTCAGTCACTGATGTTGGACGAGAAGACGTGGCTCGAAATCTCCGTTCCAGTTCATCCCAAAGGTGTTTGATGGGGTTGAGGTCAGGGCTCTGTGTGGGCCAGTCAAGTTCTTCCACACCAAACTGTCTTTATGTACCTTGCTTTGTGCACTGGGGAACAGTCATGCTGGAATAGAAAAAGGCCTTCCCCAAGTTCCCACAAAGTTGGAAGCATTGCAATGTCTGGTATGCTGAAGCATTAAGATTTCCCTTCACTGGAAGTAAGGGTCCAAGACCAACCCCTGAAAAACAACCCCACACCATAATCCCTCCTCCACCAAACTTCATAGTTGGCAAAATGCAGGTAATGTTCTCTTGGCATCCGCCAAACCCAGACTCGTCCATCAGGCTGCCAAACAGAAGCGTGGTTTGTCACTCCACAGAACACGTTTCCACTGCTCCAGAGTCCAGTGGTGGCGTGCTTTACACCACTCCATCTGACGCTTGACATTGTACTTGGTGATGTGAGGCTTGCATGCAGCTGCTTGGCCACTGAAACCCATTCCATGAAGCTCCCGGCGCACAGTTTTTGTGCTGATATTAATAGCAATGGAAGTTTGGAACCAGTGGAGGTTGGTGGCTTTTACGTACCATGCGCTTCAGCACTCTTGTGATTTTTACATGGTCTTCTGCTTTGTTGCTGCTGCTGCTCTTAAATACTTCCACTTTCCAAACAGTTGACTCTGCAATAAGTCAGTTCATGAAATTTCATCCCTGCTAGATACTCCAGAGGTGGCACCCTGTCCCAGTACCACTCTTTAATTCACTAAGCTCTTCAGAACGACCCTTTTTTTCACATAAATGTTTGTAAATGCAGACTGCATGGCTTGGTGTTTGATTTCATACACATGTGGCAATGAGCCTGATTGAAACACCTGAATTCAATAATTTAGAGATGTGTCCCAATACTTTTGTCCATATAGTGTAAGTTACTGTTGTAAGTAATGCAGCCTTTCTGAAATAGAAATTTCTGATGATTTAAGATTAATACAACAGTATTAGATTGCAACAGTAATATAGCCTGGTTAAAACCAGACCATTCTCAGTTGTAACTGAGTTATGGTCTGGCAAAGCGTCATAGACCAACCATTTCCAGAGGGGCGTCACCAACGGACGTCGCGGATAGACCTAAACCCAATCAGAGCGATGAAGGACATGACGTATGCAGAGCGGCGGAGAATCTTCGAGTGTTGTTCTTTGCTCGGTTTTTTTTTTTTCAAATGGCTTAAAACAGACGCGATAGCTGATTCAAACGAGTGATGTTCGACGGCGGCATCCATCTTTGTAATGTAGGCTACAAAATCATGTTCAAAATCCCAGCGCTGTCGTCATCGTGTAAAGCCCGCCCCAACGTTTCTGATTGGTGCCGCGATTTCGGCGAATTGGAAATGAGCTTGAATGAGCTCTTTGCCAGACTAACTTTCAGAGCAAATCTAAATTTGCCGGAAGTTGCCTGGGTTTTCCTAGGCTAACAGTAATAGCAAATAAGGATACATTTGAAAAAGAAAGGGTTGGCTGTAGGAAATGTGGAGATTCTTTGAAGGGTGAACTTGATGTTTAGTCCCCCATGACACCCTAGCCTGGCTCCGCCCTCCTACGTACTTCCGCTCAATTTTAATTTTCCCTCAGTACTACGTCTGGGTTTGCTGTATATGACACGCTAGCCTGGCTCCGCCCTCCTACGTACTTCCGCTCAATTTTAATTTTCCCTCAGTACTACGTCTGGGTTTGCTGTATATTCTTTGGTTTTCTCCAATCAATTTTTTACCGGTCCAATCAGCGAACAGAGGGAGTGGCTGAGAACGATGACGTTGAGGTGCGCTAGTTTGAGTTGTAGACATACGTTACAACCAAACGTTAGCGATTTGGTTATGGCAGATCCAGAGTGACTCTGACTATCTGACTAACAGAGTGACTATCTCCAATAGTTTTTAACTTCAACAGAGTACCCGCCTTCAAGGAAGTTAACGCTTGTCAATGGAGAGTGACAAATTAAATGTGTACAAGAGTCTGGTAGGACCAGGCTAATGACACCCCACAGTCCACTACAAACTCACGTTTAGCTCTGACTCTGTGGACATATGCAAAAAAAAAGAAAAAAGTCATGCTTCACTCTGAAATCCATCACAATGCAGAAGAATGGGTTTTGAATGCCATTTCATGTTGACTTAAGTCTGGCTAATGATCAGGATTCACCTTTTTGTGTGTGTCAAGTGGAACGTATTTTATTGGAGTACCATGTGTTTATTGTGTCTGTGTAGAAATTGTACAGAAAAGAACTTCAGCCTCCATTCAAACCTGCTGCAGGGAAACCAGATGACACTTTCTGCTTCGACCCAGAATTCACAGCCAAAACTCCCAAAGGTACGATGGAGAATGTGTTCATGAGAGATTACAGTGCTGACACATGTATCTGCTAGCGGTTCTATGATGACTTGAGTTGTATTTTGTGTGTGTTTTCTGTGGGCAGATTCTCCAGGCATTCCCCCCAGTGCAAACGCTCACCAGCTCTTTAAAGGCTTCAGTTTTGTAGCTCCAGCCTCGCTGGAGGAAAGCAGCAAAAGTTCCCCACTAGTCAACATTCTCCCCATAGTGCAGGTAAATCACAATATTCTTTATATATAGTTTTTATATATATATATGTATATATATTTTTTGTACATTCAAAAGTTTTAGATTGTAAAGAAAAAAGAAAAGTTTTTACTCTCTTCTGCTCACAAAGGCTGCATTTTTTTAAATCAAATACAACAAAAACAGTAATTTTGTAAATATTTTTTACAATTTAAAAAACTGTTTTCTATTTAAATGTGTTTTGAAATGCAATTTATTACTGCGATCAAAGCTGGATTTTCAGCATCAATACTCCAGTCTTCATTGTCACATGATTTATTCTATTATTTATATGCTGATTTGATGCTCAAGAAACATCTATCATCTTATCAATGTTGAAACCAGTTGTGTACAATTTTTAAAAAAATGTCTTTACTGTCACTTTTGATCAATTTAAAGCTATCACACTTCAGGTCCATGAAGAAGACGAGGAAGAGTAAAGGAAGTAGAGTAGCTAGGCAACTGATAAAAACGGGAACGTGTTTTATTTGTACAGATGCTAACGTTATCAAAACGATCCCCGTTCACACGGATACACGAAAATGACTAATAATGCTGTATTATGCTGCCAGACAAGTGGTTGGCGATGTCACTTCGCAAAGAAAGATTACATACGCATTCTTTTACTACAGTGCACTCAAGCTGAACGAAGAAATTACATAATCTATCATGTTTTTTTTGTCCGATTTTCATTCGAAGGATGTTAACCTTGAAAATATTTGTATTACTGTGACTGTTTCTGGCTTTGTGAAGATGAAATTTACCCAGAAGTCAGTAATCCCTCCTCTGATAAAGTCCCTTTTTACTTTAAGGAAATGTCAAACCTTTGAACACAAAGTTTTCGAAAACATGTATCATCCTTGAGTCTGTTGTAAGAAACCTTTAATATAAAAAAGCCTATAGACTAAACACACAATAGCCTACGCATGTATGACGTCACCGTTTTTGTTGTTTACATGAAGACGTCCTCTTTGAAACCCATTTTCAAAAGTTTGCGTTTTCAAGCCACCAAAATGCTGTTGTCGTGTAAATAAATGGCCAAAACGCATAAAAAGTCTTCCGTTTTTAGTTAAAAGTGGTGTCGTGTAAATGGCCCCCGAGTGTCCTTGAAAACGAAACCAAAACACAATGAAAACGTGACAAATACATCCTTGATGAATAAAAGTATTAATTTCTTTCCCCCAAAAAATTCTCAATGACCCCAAACTTTTGAATGGTAGTGTATATTATGTTACAAAAGCTTTCTATTTCTATTCAAAGAATTCTGAAATGTTTGTCAAAACTGTTACACACACACACACACACACACACACACACACACACACACACACTATATATATAAAATTAGTGATACATGCATGCATGCATGCATTAGGGGTGTGGTGATATACTGGTATTGTCAATTAATCGTGATATTTAAAAATGAAATATGTTAATTAGAGGGTGTCTCAATATACCGGTATTGGTGATAATCGTAATATTTAAAATGAATAGTACATAAATGATAATATGACTCTTACATAATGCAGCCCCAGTCTCTGGTTGACATCCCAACCTACAGTATGTGGCGATATTGCACCTTAATTGTTTGCCACCTGTCATAAAACACTCCAAACCATTCTTTCACAATTTGAGTTAAGTAATAAAAAGCTACACACTCCATCAATTAGAAAATGCTAGAAACATAATAATCACTGCAATAATGATCCAATCATACACTCTTAAGCATTTGCCTATTTAAATCCTAACAGTGACTTATTTTGTCTGGGCAGTGTATCATCACGTGTGGTGTGAGTCGTCATCACAGAATAAAACAAAACCATATTACTTGAAATAAAATAAACATTAACTGAAATAAAATATATAAAAAAGTGAACTCATTTATATTTCAGCTAGTTGTCAAGGCAACATTTCTCATTTTCATTTAGTTTGTTGAAGTACTAAAACGAAATAAACTAACATTTAAAAAGCAAAATAAACCAGAACATTTTAAAATACAATTCTTTTTCAAAAAATGTACAAAAACTATAATAGTATATCAGTGATACTAAAATAGCTTTGATCATTACAGATGTTAAATAATGCAGTGTTTTAGTCTATTGTGTGTAACGCACAAGACATGTCGTGGCAAAAGCAAATCGGACCAATCAAAATCAGTGAAATCTAGATGACAGGAACTGGAAGCCCTGTCCTGCCTCTGACGTAAACCATGCGCTACTTCTGACAGCAGGACAAATGGATTGATGACACATTCTGGATTCATATATGTCTGTAAAATGTTTTTTTTTATTGTATTTTTTTATAATAAATGGCAGTAAAGACATTTTATAATGTTTCAAGTAAATGCTGTTCTTCAAAGAATATTGAAAAAAAGTGACGCTTTACTGCGGTTTCCACACTACAATAAGCAACACAACACAACCATTTTCAGCTGTAATAATAAAAATAAGCTTCTTGAGCATATTAAAATAATTAAGTCAAGACAAAGAAAATGGACCTTTGCCATCACAGGAAAAAATATAACTTTTTTTTTTTTTATCAAATAAATGCAGTTGGTGAACATCATTATCTGTTTTACAAAAAATTGTACAGATGCCAAACTTTTGATCGGTAGTGTATGTATGCATACATGTATGTGTAGATTTTAAATGCAGTGTGTGCTGTGTCAGATGCATGGTGGCTCAGCTCAGTTTTCTGACATGTACGAGCTGAAGGAGGACATCGGCGTGGGCTCATACTCCATATGCAAACGCTGCATACACAGGGTCACCGCCATGGAGTTTGCTGTGAAGGTGAGACATTACACCTCAAAATCAGGATTTCTAGGGGTGGAACGGATCGTAGTTCAACTTACTTTATTTGTACCCGGAGGTAGATGCTGTTTGTTCCTCACTGTAATGGCTCCAGGGACAAATGTTGATCCGTGATCATACGGACCAGCACGCATGTGATTCGTGGATTAACTGCTAAATTTAACTGTCGAGAGAGACAGAGACAGAGCTCGGTCCGTACAGTCGGTCTTAGACAACAGTAGAAATATTAGGTGTGTGCTGTCTCTTTGTGTCATTAATGTTAGTAAAACAACAAAATACAGCTTTAACAAAGATGAAACTATATTTAATGTCTACAGTGAACAAATAGTGCTATTTTACATTTAGGCTTAATTATTAATTTATGGACCTGAATACAGCCCCTTTCACACAGAGATTCTGGAAGATACACGGATAAAGCGACCCGGGATTTGACCCGGGTTCGTTTGATTTTGGTTCATTCACACTGCCAGTGATTTTCCAGAATCAGACAGTGCGTTCACACACAACCCGTAAAAATCCCGTAAAGGCACGTGACATCGATGTGACATGTAATGTCTCAGCAACGTGTATAGTTTGCTTATGAGCTGCGATTTCTCTCTGGGGAAACATTTTTTTTCTCTGATTCGATCATAAACTAGCGCATTACGTACCGTTTCACTTCAGCGTCATCATTACGACACGGCATTGGTTATGGCTTTTGTTCACACAGCGCGCGTTCCGGGACTGATGGGCAATGTTACTAGGTCCCCAACCCGGCATCGATCCCGGGTCGTGTTTGCGTTCACACAGAAGGCGTTCTGGCAATTTCCCGGCAATTTCCCGGGATCAACGCGCTGTGTGAAAGGGGCTTACTACTGTCAGACTTTGTAACTTTGTTAGTATTCATCTCTGCTTGTAATTTACGTATTTCTTCTTATTTTATTACTGACTGTTCACTTGTTTTTAATAATGTTTGAACTAGACCAGTTAGGCTAGTATGATCCAAAAAATGGTCTGATCCGTGGCTCAAAAACCGTAAATGATCCGAACCGTGAATTTTGTGATCCGTTCCACCACTAATGGTTTCTGATGCCTCAATGAGTCAACTTGCACATGAACGTGTCCATGCTGTGTTCTGGTGAACGTGTCCATGCTGTGTTCTGGTGTGATGTTTTCACTGTGATTGTGTTAAATAGATCATTGACAAAAGTAAGCGAGACCCATCGGAGGAGATTGAGATCCTGATGCGGTATGGCCAGCATCCCAACATCATCACACTGAAGGATGTGAGTGACATGACTCTGATCTCAAACGTCTCAGCTCTGTGTAAGAGTAACTAATTTGTGTGTGTGTGTGTGTCACTCAGGTGTATGACGAGGGTCGTTTCGTGTATCTAGTGACGGAGCTCATGAAGGGCGGTGAGCTGCTGGATAAGATCCTGAGGCAGAAGTTCTTCTCTGAGCGAGAGGCCAGCGCTGTGCTGTACACCATCACCAAAACTGTGGACTACCTGCACTGCCAGGGGGTGAGACACACACACACACACACACACACATTCTGCACACTATACACCGTATGAGCAACCTAAGAGTGGGCACTGACGTTTTTACCTTGATTGTGAAGGCTTCTGGTGTCAGCTGCTTCTGGTTATTCGAGCTGTACAAAAAAAGTCTGGTATTGCAAACTGCTATTAGTTAATGCACTATTTTAAATTATTATTGTAATCACAAACACTGGTTGTACTGCAAATTGTTTTACTGTTTACTACACTATTATTCTTCTAGTTATTTACATATTGCGGCTAGTGAATCGAACGCTCAAGTAGCCTGATTAAAACGGCGATAACAAAAAATATCTAGGGAATCCCCAAAACGCGAGAAGATTCTGCATTAATTTAGTTTAAGTGGTGATTGATAGTGAATAATAATATAATATATAATGTACTGATGGTAACAAGGTTGTGCTGTTGAGGCTCGCGCAGCTTCATGAGGAGAAATGGAAACAAACGAGGGCCGTTCACACAAAGAAACTCCGTTAACATACTGCGGTAAAAATTCAAAATGTGGAGTTTTTTTTCTGGAAAATATATATTACAGGTAAGCAACTAGGGATGCTCATATTGACCAGTTAACCGTTAACCGAAAGTAAAAATTGACCAATTAATACTATCAGTTAAACGGTTTAAAAAGGTTTTTTTTTAAAAGCTTCTTTTTTATTAGTTTACTGCATGGTTAAAAAACAAAATACTATAGTCTATATTTATTAACTCACGGGGCGCGTCGACATGCGCAACCACACACGTGCCTGCAGACATTTTTTTCCGAGCAAGCAAAATACTGTGTGGGACTATTTCAACAGAAAGGGCGACGAAGTTACCTGTAAAATATGCTGCGCGGTATTAAAATACAGTAGTAGTACAAGTACGATGCAGTATCATTTGCGAAGCAAACATCCACAAGCATCGAGTGAAGGACAACAAACTTTGCCCACCGTGTTATCAGGGAGAAGATGCGATGCACGGCGATCTGAGGAGATAACGCAGAGAATCTGTTCAATGGTAATAAAAGACACTTTGCCCACAAGACTAACCCCACATCACGTTGACATGTTGCTTTTTTAAAATAAAAATTAGACCATGTTTGGATTGAGGTAGGGCTGCGATTTTTATTTAACGAAAAATCGTCTAACGGAAAAAAATTGCCGGTTTTTGAAAGCTTCGTTCAAACGGATTCAGTGTTTTCTTTTTTCATCTTAATTTGTGAATAGTTAAAAAAATATATTTAGTGTTGGCCAATTTTATGTTTTTTATTTGTATTATTTTATTCTGTTTTTCTCTGTTGTCACTGTCAGAAATGCAGCAGGTGCGTGAAAATGTGATCTGAATCCAGGTTCTGTTGTTGATCTGTTCTGTATGCTGCTGTTTGCACTTTGCACATTAAAATAAACCATTTGATAAATAAAAAAAATTGTTTGTATTTTTAACGGGGCCCCGGATACGCGTCAATTTTATTTTATTTAATGCCAATTCAATATTATAATCTTATCAGTTAACGGTTAATAATCGCTTAACGAGTGGCGGTTGTCGGTCGGGAAAATTAACCGAAATGAGCATCCCTATAAGCAACATCACACGACCAAGAGTGAATACCATCACGACTGAAAATGTGACACTGATTTCATATGACAGTTCAATAAACAAGTAATTAATATTAAGTCACTTACATTTTAGACACAATAATATTGACTGTTTTTGTTCCATTTCAACAGCAAAAATAGTTCCAAACAAAGATCACTGCAGAACCATAACACATTTCACAGGAACGCCTAACCATGTTTTAATCACTGAATGATTCAGCGTTTGAACGAATCGGGTGAGTCAAAGATTCAATGACCCATTCTTAAACAACTGCCTCATTCCTGAACGTATCAGCAGTATGAACGAATCGTTTGAATAAATGGCTCTCTCATTAAGACGGTCACGTGCTGCCACCTACTGGTGGTTTAGGTTCGTGATTTAAAGTATCATCCTTTCCAACATTTCTTATTTGTATATTCAAAAAATATTTAAAATGATCTCATAACATTATTTAATGCAGTTTTAATTTTTCAGTGTAATTTTTTTTTACTTCATTGGTAAGAGCCCTATAGTGTCTCATTATTCTAATTTAATTTATTGATCAAATTTAAGAATTTAAAGACGAAGCATATATTTAAAATGAGTAGTTTTGGCTTGCGATATCTGAATGATTTTGATAGGCTACTGCAAAAAATCAGTTTTAGGTCAGCGCATATAACAGAGAACTTGATGTTGAAAAGAGTTAAGCGCAATAAACTGCGGAAAACAACTAATTGCGGTACAGGCGCTGTATGACACACACCTGATGCGCGCACAGAAAGCCGTTTCTCGGACAGCGTGTGATCCCGAATTCATCTCTCTTTCGCTGCTTATTGCGCTCAAACGGTGAAATACTGGACTGCACGAAAATATGGATGATTTTGGACGATTAAGACTTATAAGGTCCCCTAAGGCCCCCTAGTGGTCACTGGCCCTCCTGTTCGAGAACCATTGTTTTAGATCTCTGCATTGATTTTTTTTTAATCTTAAAAATGTAATTGATTCATATCCCCCAGCCCTGTTAACCAGTGTGAATGATTATAAGCCACTGGAATGAACTGGTGTTGTGACAGGCTGTGTTCCTGACGCAGGTGGTGCATAGGGACCTGAAGCCCAGCAACATCCTCTACATGGACGATTCAGGAAACCCTGACTCCATACGCATCTGTGACTTTGGCTTTGCCAAGCAACTGAGAGGAGACAACGGACTGCTGCTCACACCCTGTTACACCGCCAACTTCGTGGCTCCTGAAGTGAGGAATCGACTGCTCTGTGTGTTCTTCGTGTCCTGAGCACGTCCTGAACTGAAGTGACGGGCTTTGTCTGTTGTGTTGCAGGTACTGATGCGTCAGGGTTATGACGCTGCCTGTGATATCTGGAGTCTGGGAGTCCTGCTCTACACCATGTTGGCGGGGTCAGTGGGACAAGTTTTTATACACACTTGCGCTCTTATTGATAAAGTGAAAAATCATCGAAAAAGTTTGCGTAATTTGCTGTCTTCCATCCATTTGGCCTTTTACAGATAAAATGGTTTGTGTTAGGGCTGTGCGATTTTAAGACTGAAATCTAATGTTTTATCACTAATAAATTTTGAAATCATTTAAATGAAATGCTTGGTAGTGTTAAATTTGAAAGGAGGGCAATCACTGCCTTTTCAGAATGTAATGAACAGGGTTTGAAATTAACACCCGCCAAATGTGGGTAAAAATCAACTGTGGCGGGTAACGCTGTCAAACGCGTGTTATGGTGCGTTCAAGTCACTTTCGTCGGAGTGAGGTGGCGGTGTACTTTCTCTTAATTAATTACACAAAAATACAGCAAGGTTTGTAAACTCTAGTACTAGGAAATGAAGAAACAAAGATACGCATAAGGTGTGCTTTGCTTTTTTAGGTTTTTAGTGCAAACTTTATCGTTACTACATTGTTATTTTATAATGCTATCATATTCTGTGCAGGCAAGTAGCTTACTGCGCTGTAAATAGAAAAGCCTGACAATATCACAGCTAAAAACCTTGAAGTATTGTGGTATTCCGCCATGTTTCTCACTGACACGCCCCCAACTCGTAAAGATCGAAGCTCCCCACTCGTATTTACGACATTGTGGTGGCGTTCATGTGTGTTCAACTCGTAAATACGATCTATACGAGATGACTTGAACGCACCATTACTTATGTTTACTCACTTTGCTGGGGAAGTTCGTGTAAGCCAAATCTGCACGTATCTGGCTTACTTGAACATACCTGTCACAACGCAACAAATAACGGCACGCGATTCATTTGCACTGAAGCAATCGCGAAGATAAAAAAAAAAACAATAATGTGGCGATACTTCCCGCAGACCAGAGTTCACACAGTTCACACGCAAAGACCGAGGTGAAAAACAGCACTTCCTTACTGATACAGCTGCAGATGAGAGCTCTGAGGACATTTGAGCATTTGGTTAACAGAAAAGACATTGTAATTTGCCAACATCCTACAATTTTAGCAGACCCTGGCTTATCCTGAGACCACAGGTTTGTTTTGTTCTGCATGTGTTTGATGTTTCACCAAAAATACATTTTTGGTGAAAGGGATGAGGATGAAAAAGGAAGGGAGGAGATGGCTAGACAGGATTTTGGTTGAATAAGAAATGAATGTATGAAATTCAAATTGTATATAAATTTTTTTTTAGGTTTGACGTAGTTAATCTGGTTTATTTATTTTTTTGGCTAGTAGAAGTTCTGAATGGCCGGTCACTTACAAATTTAGTAGCCAAATTGGCCGGTGAGTGAAAAGGTTCATTTCAAACCCTGGTAATGAAACATTTTAAAATCACAAAAATTACAAAAAATAAGAATAATGTTTGAGACGTGCATCTTATTCTTACCACACTAATGTAATTGCCACAGCATCCATATACAATCGGGCATGTGAGGAATTCATGAAAAAGTCCGAATAGATTAACTCTTTCTGTTTTCACTGTTATACGCTAGGGATGCTATTACACATCTTCTGAAAGAGTAGGGAATCTCCTGATCTAAACATATGTGGTGCAGCAGCAGAAACAAGCGATAGCATAGGTAAGCAGATGCAGATGCAAAATAAATCGATCATCAACATTAAAATGGCATATAAATCAAAACTGCCTAATGTTACTGAATGAAATGTTGACCCGAGACGAGGTGCAGGACTGAAGCTTTGAGGCTGTTGATGAAATCGATCTTCTCCATCTGAGTTTTGATCATCGTTCTGAATCCAATCTGGATGTCGTCTTTGTTTATAATGTTGTTGCATTGATCTTTTGTTAATCTGTGTAGGTACACGCCCTTTGCCAATGGACCCAATGACACACCAGAGGAGATCCTGTTACGCATCGGCAGTGGAAAATTCTCCCTGAGTGGAGGAAACTGGGACTCTGTGTCGGACTCCTCAAAGGTAGCAGAGGAATAGCCACACTTCATTTGTTGTGATGCATTCATGTCAGAATTAAGAAGATTCATCATGTTTCCCGCTCTAAAATATAGATACAATATTTGAGTGCAATCTCTATAATGTTTGTTGTTGTTTAAGTCCTTTAAGGGGTCATCGGATGCAAAATTCACTTTTATATTGTGTTTGCATATAAATGTGTCTTTGCAGTGTGTGGACACAACCACCATTCAATGAAAAAAATCCATTCACTCCTATTTTTTAATCCTCAAAAAGTCTAAACACTCAATAATCAAGCCGTTTGGATTTTGATGTCATGATTCATTGGGTAAAGTTGTGGGAACCCGATACATGGCTTATCGAGCAGAAATGTGGCACTGCTGAAGCTGCAGCCATTTTGGTTGTTTTCATATGACATCACTTTGGTCAAGTAAGAAAAGTTTCATAAACGTATAGAATTGGGATGGGACGATTACCGGTTTCACGATAAACCATGATGAAATCTACTGACGGTTAGTATTATCGTTTAAAATTTAATTATCATTAAAACCGTGTTTGATTATCGCGATTTTAATAACTCACTGTAAATCCTGTCCAGCCAGCAACAGTCTGACGCAGGCGCAGCGCGCAATTTTTTATTTATTTATTATTATTCGAGAAGGAATTGTGCTTGGGAGATTTCCCAGCCTTTTAAGAAGACCAAATCTGAGGTGTGGTCATATTTTGGCTTTTACAAAAGTCCTGAGGGAAACTTGATCGAGGATGGTCACCCTGTCTGCAGAACAAAAAGTCGCTGCAATAGAAACACTTCAAATCTGCCGATCGTCTTGTGTGACCATCACCCACTGTTGTATAGCGAACGCACGGCAAGTTAACTTTGACCTCAATACCAAAACTACGTCTGGGAAATAATTGGGCACAAAATGTTGTTTTGAGTTGAAATATTTTATCTCACTCACTTGAAATAGACGTGAAGCATCCGCGAAGAAAAGTTAGCAGCAAGTGGCTTTGAGCCAAAGACGAACTAACAACTTCAAACAAGACTATTATTAAGAGTGACATTTTATGGGATAGTAACGTATAGATTCATTGTACACTTATAAAAAATTTTTTTTTACCACATAATTACGGGGACATATTGAATTGAGATTAATGTGTTAAATCTTACATGTTTATAAATCCATTTTGTACAGCGTACAAAGCAATCGTCCAGACAAGATGATTACAACAATATTATCAAACTCTGTAAACAATAAATCAACAATCAAAAACGGGAGATGCAAGACGACAAGTTGTATTTGAATGAAACAAGAGAGCGCGCCCGTTGTGATACATGGATGTGCGCTGTGTAATAATGCGTTGCTATTGATGACGGTCATTATAAAGAAGGAAATGCCACAGAATCTTGCTTAAAAAACTGCATAGAGCTGCTTATTTATTTGTTTTTTGTTGATTTTCAAATATAAAACTTGTTGAAATGTTTTCAGTGTGAGCATCAGTTCTTTTTGAACACTTTCATCTCATTTTAACAAAACCGTGATAATATTGATAATCACGATAATTTTGGACACTATAATCGTGATATGAAATTTTCATACCGTCCCATCCCTAGTATAGAATTACCGCGGTTATTTTAACAGCAGTAGCAGAAACATGGCGAGCAGTGAAATAGATACTAAAACACTGCAAAAAAACAGTTCTGCAAATAGTTATTTTTATCTGTCATGACTTGTTTTTATCTGTCTGTTTTTTCATCTACATTTAGCATTATTAATCAGCATGTTCAAAATAAACGTATAATTGGAAACAATTGTTTGTAGATGGAAAGACATAAACTTTGAAATTACTTGTTAACTTTGTTTTCTGCTCTTGATGAGGGCGTTTTGATTATTATGTACATTGTGTGTTGTTTTAGTAGACACTTCTTTAAATATACTTAAAGGTGCTCTAAGCGATGTCACGCGTTTTTTAGGCCAAAACATTTTTTGTCACATACAGCAAACATCTCCTCACTAACCGCTGGCTGCCTGTCCCCTGAACACACTGTAAAGAAACGCGATCTCTGTAGACAGCCCAGGCTCCACAAACAGCAACAAAAGCAAACTGCGGCGACCCGCTCCACGAAACATAACAAACTGTTCCAGCCAATGACCGACAAGAAGGGTTTGGGGGCGGGGTTTGGGGGGTTAGTGTGCGGATGAGGAGGAGGGAGGGTCTAGCTAGCCTCCGTTTTGTTTGACAATAGTTCGAACGTCAACAAGAAGTGATGTCACCCAGGATCGCTTAGAGAACCTTTAATATAAAATGGTCCAGACTTCAAGATGAACAACCCTAAACCCCCATACAATATATTTTTGTCACATGGCCCTTCTGGCTTATGTATCTAAATATAATCAATGTCACAATATGTCTATATAAGTCTAAATAAGTCTATTTTCAGCTTCAGAATCATGAATATTGTTATTCTGGTGTCTCTATTGTCCTGTGCTTTGGGTTTCCAGCACCAAGTCCAAGACTATTTATTAATTTACACCCCCAATGTAATACCAAATTTAGTATTTTAATCAACAGTAAATTTTGTTAAAGGAACACGCCGACTTTTTGGGACTTTAGCTTATTCACCGTATCCCCCAGAGTTAGATAAGTCCATACTAGTGCTGTCAAACGATTAAAATATTTAATCTCGATTAATCGCATTAAAGGTGCAAAATGCAAGTCTCTGAGTTTTTGCAGAACTACGCCTCCTCTGGCGAAAAGCAAAATTGCAACCAGAGTTGTGCACGCTCATGGACCACACACACACGCACGCATGCACGAGCTGTTCATAACTAGGAGCATCTGCCGCACAGATCTTTGGTGTACAGCCAAAATGTCTATTTTTACCGAAAAAGACAATATAGCCAATGCAACGCCGTTCTTCCTTGTTGGTCAATGACATGAACACCTTAGCATGTTAGCAATGGACACAAGGCTAACGTTACCGGTAGGTCATACCAGTGTTTCCTCTAGGATTTTTTCCAGCCGTGGTGGCAGGCCCATTGCGCCAGGGGGAGGGGGCGTGGCCCATGAGTGATATTCCCATTGGCCACGCCCCCTTATCCCAGGTGTTTAAACCTCCCAAGCATTATAACATGAATGGCGCCAATAAGAGCGGCAAAGTGATTATGCGCATCCCGTGCGCAGAATGATGCACTTGAAGCAACGCGAAATCACTGCGTGCAGGTGCAGCGCTTCGCATTGAAAAGTTCAAAGCACAAAGCGAAGAGATTATATCTATCTATGCTTAATGTATTATATCTATGCAACAGTTTATTGAGCCTTTTCTTTTAACAGTTTTAAATTTCAGTTAACTTACAGTGAGCAATGAAGAACAATTCATAGTGCTCTCTAACTTACTCTAGTGCTGTAGTAACAGACACCCGGGAGAAAGGAATATGATTTAGAAAGCGCTATAAACTCCAGCAAGATAAAGTAATTTTATGCAAACTATAGACCTTTAGCTACAAATAAAGTATAATAATGGGAACATTGATCTTGAAGAGAGGGTCGTCGTGTTACTGTCGTAACGTGACGTGCTGTTTGAATGCTGAATGAAGAATGACTGAGGAGAGATGAGTTTCTTATTTATACATTTTTACCTCACATTATGCTATTGAATGACTTTGGAAGTCTTCCAATACAGTGCGAAAACTTTATGGTGCTCTACAAAGTTTTGTATGCCTTTAGTGGGGCTTAACAATAACACATACAATATCGGACCGAAAAGCTGCAGCCGTGGCGGGATGATTTTAGGTGTGGCGGCCCGCCACGGCAGAATGAATGTAGCGGAAACACTGGTCATACACAAAAACATAGTTAGCATCTTTTATTGGATATGTTTTGTTTCATGTTGTACTATTCTTCCGAACACAATTCCTAGTTTATGAAACTGTTCACTAACAATGGTAGTAAAACCAATTCTGATTGTACATGTATCTAGCTTACGCTAAAGCATTAGCTGCTACACATTTTACGCATCGTCATTTGTTGTCATACATAGATTGGCTGTATCAAACATTGGAGACTGGGCTATATCTTACCGTTTTATCAAGAAAAAAGCCAACTGAGGATCCCGTTTGAGACCAAGAGCAGACCGGAGATCTCTCCATTTGTTGAATGCCTTCCCGAGGTTGACTCTCGTCTTACTCCGACGCCTGTCTGACTCCAATTTGGACCTTTTGGTGGCACTAGACAAAATTTTTATTTTCTTTACTTTACGTGGAGTTTGCGTTGGGGTTTGGAATGGACTACAAGCCGGTCTCTTTGAATCCATCTTCTACCTTTGACGCACGAGTTGTCTTCGCTGATGCGGAGAATGGCGGCGCCGGCGAATACACAAACCTGCGAGACATAGCCTGGTGAGCGTGAACGCGCATGACGTCACGCCCAGTCTCAAATTCGAGCCCAAATCCCTCTTATATATTTTACTGTACAGGATTATAGAGGCAATCTCAGTGATCAGAGAAGGGCTCATTCAGCCCATCAGGCAGTTCTTTAAGCATGTATAGGATAGAAAAACAGGTATTTTTAACATGAAAAGTTGCGCAATGCACCTTTAATGTCATAGTTAACTCGCGATTAATCGCAATTAATCACAAATTTGTATCTATTCTAAATGTCTCTTTCTTTTTGTCCCATTATTTTTGATTGCTCTTATCAACATGGAAAAGTGGATCGCATGGGCGTAGGTTTGGTCTCAGCTTTGGTGGGGACATCCCCCCCCCCCCCCCCCACCCCCCATCTCATTATATTGTATCCTGACCCCGATACACCATCCTGTATACTGTCAATAAAGAGCTAGTATAACTGTATAATCTCAAAAATGCACTCTCAAAAAATAAAAACCTGAGACTGTAATGCTGAACAACCAAACATTTTATTTAACATAAATTATTATGTATCTATCTTCTATTCTATATCAAATTCTATTGATATATTCTATCCTTAAAAAAAAAGCAAGTTTAACCCTCCTACCAGATATTGTTATTTGGATATTATCAAACAAATAATGATTCATTATATTTGAATAACCAACAGTGTTTACTTTTGCCTTTTTAACATTGCCAATATGTTTTTCCAGACATGTGTCTAGCAAGTATAGGCTACACTCACAAATACAATACATAAACAGAATGTAGAAACGAAAAATGTCTCAGATGATCCACTGTTTATGACTGCAAGATTCTAAGTTAAGGTAGGCTAATTAACATTCAGTGACTTGCTAACGTCTATCATGATAGCGCGACTTCTATGAGTCTATCCGTGCTGCACACCCCTAATTAATGCTCCTAACCTTGAAAAATTGCAGAAGCTAGGTTTAACTGTAACAATATCCTGGGTAACCAGGATCACCAGTTAATACTATTTTCCACAGTAGAATCTGCATTTGAAAGCATGGTCAGTCACTACTACTGCTAGTTATTTGTGTGGCTAGTTATTTTTGCCTACTTGCACTCTGCTTTATGAAAAAGCTTCGTATGTCCCCTTTCTTCTTCTTGGGTGACATAGCTGAATAACTACAAAGTACAAAAAGGGGCAAAAAACGGAATATTAAAATGTTTTACCCTGGCCTTTGTATATGCATGGATATGTGCATGCAGAGAGACAGCCCTGGGAACTTACCGTCGGCGTCGTCGCGCGCGCGCGCGCGCACACACACACACACACACACACACACACACACACACACACACACACACACACCACCCGCTCGCTGCCAGTGAGTGCAAGCACAAAAAGTAGTCCCGGCCCGCGCGTGTAGCCTGTCAGATACCCCGCCGCCAATCAAATTACGGCGTATCTTGTACTGTCGTCGTCCTGGCCGTTGGAATCGATCCAAATAGCAGCGCAAATATCAAAATAGCAGTTCAAAGGAGCTTGCTAAATATTGGTGGGGACAAATTTGTCATCTCAAAATATTGATTGGGACTAGTACCTAGCGTCCCCCCCCTAAACCTACGCCCTTGGTGGATCGGCTTGCTTTGTGCAAATGTTTTTTATTGAAAACAACATTGACAATACTGTGTTCAATTTCACACTAAAACATTTTCACTTGAAGCAAATAATCTCTCACACAATGTAACACTGTCCATCAATAAAAGGGTAAAAGAAATACTGACGAGGTCCTGATATTGACGAGGGGGTGGAGAATTCGCATCAGCTGTGTGTGTGTGTGTGTGTGCTTGGCCATCAAGTGGTATTTCAGACTGGACGTGCTGCGATTATGATAGCTCAGTTCACAACGACAAAACGCACAGATCCCTTTGGTCTTGTCAATGGAACCATTTGGCAACTTTTTAAAAGTAAACTTTTTTTAATTCAGAATCTTATTGGCATCCATTTCAGCGTCTCGCGCTCGTCATCCACTCAAAACTTAAAGTTAACCTACTATTTGGCCGGCTCGCAACAAGTGTGTTTCCGGTCTAGCTAGATCCGGTGCTTTCAGACAGGACGTGGAATGCACGGCACTACGCCAGTTTTCAAAACTTTTTGGATGCCAAAAAGTTTCTATTGGCCGCGCTGGTAATCGTCACAGCGGCCAAAGTTTAACTATTTTGAATTTTGACCGCGGTGTGCGCGCCGCTGCGCTTACGCTTTGGTTTACGAAGCAACAAAACGTCCTCGCGCGGCGCAAGCCATTGAAATGAATGGGTTTCATAGCGCAGCGCTGCGCATGCCGCGTCCTGTTGCAAAAGCCTGGGGAAAAAAACCTACAAAGTTTGCTAGGCCAAAAAGACCGTTAATCTCGCGATAAAAAAATTAATCGCGATAAAAAAAATTAATCGCGTTAAAATGGGTTTGCGTTAACGCCGTTAATAACGCGCTTAACTGACAGCCCTAGTCCATACATACCCTTTTCATCTCCGTGCGTGCCGTAACTCTGTCTGACGCACCCAAGTAGCAGTGCTTCGCCTTCTGAGAATATAGTTCCCAGTGTGTATACGGTTAGAAGATGCCTGTGTCTCGTGACCTTGTTATTTGTACACACTGTGACTATACAAATCACAACATATAAATAGGAAAATGTTCAGACAAGAGTTACTGCACGCACAGAGATGAAAAGGGTATGTATGGACTTATCTAACTCTGGGGGATGCGGTGAATAAGCTAAAGTCCCAAAATGTCGGCGTGTTCCTTTAACCTTTTACCATATGTCTTGGAGTATTAAAATAATAGTTGTTCAGTATCGTGGTATGTATCGAATCGTGACATGAGGGTATCGTTACACCGGTAATACAAACATAAACGTTTGTTACATTTATTCGACTTGGAGCAGATGTAGGTGTCCTTAATGATGTTGCATAGTTTATTCCACATCATGCACTTCTCAAGACTTACTTGAAGATCTAGAAGAAGTGCATCACATGTTCTCTTCTACAGAGTATCTTTGCGCGCTATTGTTGTCAAATTTGGTTCAAAACAATCCAGTTGTTTTCTTGAATTACATAATTGTACATAATATAACAATCCATAGTGGTTATTGTATTTGATTGGACGTCAATAGCACTAGTTCAGATGAGCACATTTGTTTAAACTAAAGCTAATAAGGGCCAGAATTTTGCTAAATAAACTGAAGTTTATTGATCCTTGAACAACATTCCTCTCCAGAAAACAATCGTAATCCTGTCCCTAACCCTATCCATAAATGATCTCTAAGATCAGGGAAATGATACATGAATAAAAATGGTGTAAAGCCCTAAACCCTTGTTGTAAGCCTAAACTTGTCATTAATTGTAAACGTATCCCTAATATGATTGGTTGATTTGAATGTTGTGTCAGGATCAAGGATGATGATCCAGGAACAGGTTATTCTTGGTGAAATCACATTCACTGTTTGTATGGTGGTTCGAGTGCTTTTCAAGAGCAGTGTACAGAAATCCCATCAGTATCTGGACACACTCTGGTTTTCTTTAAGTGTTTTACCTGTGTGTTGGCAGGACCTGCTGTCTCATATGCTGCACGTGGACCCTCATCAGAGATACTCAGCAGAACAGGTACTGAAACACTCGTGGATCGCCTGCCGGGACCAGAACCCTCACTTTCAGCTCACGCGCCACGAAGCGCCTCATTTGGTCAAGGTATGGCTCGAGTTTCTTGATTCCATGTTCTTTAGATGGAAGTTCTGCTTGAGATTGATGGTGTCTCTCGTAGGGAGCGATGGCTGCCACGTACTCGGCGTTGAACCACAAGACGTGTAAGCCGGTTCTGGAACCCGTAGCTGCCTCCAGTCTAGCTCAGCGCAGGAACATGAAGAAGCTGACGTCTACAGACATGTCGTGAAGCTCGTGATGTCCCTGTGCTCGTCTCCAAGGGTTGGCATCTCCTCTCGAGTTCTCGTACGTGATGCTTCAGGGAGTGCGCGACATTTGGGAGGAAACGCACGAAAGCCCCTCTTGTTTCTCTCTGGTAGAGTGAAAAACACCAGCTCCATCTCTCCATCGTGTCTGAAGTGTTTCACGCATAAGCGAGCTGTTTAGAATGTTCTTGCCCAATGGAAACCCAGATCTCATGAAGAAACGTCCAGGTCATCAAGCGCAAGAAACCAGTTTTTAGGACCATGAAGAACATTGCTTGACATCCAAGCCCTTTTCCCTAGATTTTCTAATACTGGTGTACAGAAATGAATGTCATCAGGGGGGTTTTCCATTAAATTCACCCGTATGTGGTACTTCGAAGTACTTTACAGTTGAAATTAAACTCGTTTTTCAACACTAAATGTATGCGAAGAGGATAGGATTTGTTTCTCTTCTAAGAATCGGGCAAAGGAACCTTAAAACATTACTGTGCAAAACATCTTAATGGTCCTAAAAACTGTTGTGGTTTTCTTCACGCAAGATTTACTGATGACCTGCACATTATTCATTTCTAAGCCACTTTTTGTCCTGTTAGTGTTGCGAACCACATGGCATTACCTCAGAAGCACTCAGTGTTACGCGTTCTTTAGCTCGATGTATTATAAAGTCATTCATTAAGTTTGTGTGGAACCTTGAGCACATTTGCACTGAGGCTTGGGCAGGTCGTTGCTTCTGCGAGGCGTTCCTCTCCCTCCATCTGTTCCCGTCTCAGACCGCTCTTTGCCTTTTGTTGAATGGGAAGTACATGAGCAAAAGGTGAAGAAATAAATCTATATTTATAAAATCGAATGAGGTGAATGAATGTAGATGAGATTGAATCCATGAAATCACATCTCTCTGCTCCAGGTGGAGGGGAACAAATATTCCATAAAACTTTTTAAAGACATTGTGGAAATTGTATCATATTGTATTTATTTCACTTATTTTTAAAATTTTATTTTTTCTTTCAGGTGATGTACATATTGACATTAAAGAACATTATTGACATGATGTTTTTTCTTGTGTGTGTGTTAATTCAGCCAAACAGAATCAAACAGCGATTTGTAGAAATGCCTTTTGATTTGTCAAACGTCTGATTCATATCTTCACCAAGGAGGACCTGGAGAAATCTGTCCGTTAGTCTCACTGGCACTTTGTTTGCTAATGCAGGAAGATACAGTATGTGATTTGAAATCTGCCATTGCATTTTAGTGTTGACGTACAAAAATGACTCAAATTATGATACAAAGACACAAGAAACACAATTACAATAGAACTATTCCAATAACAATGGCACGCACTACATGTCCAGGAGTATTTGTATACCCTTTATTCCAGGGATGGGCTTTCCTGCAGAGTTTATTGCCAACCCAATTTAAAAACACTTGAACAATCTAACCAAAGTCTTGAATCTAATCAGAGCTAAACTGCTGGACAGTGACCGCTAGGACCAGAGTGGCCCAATCCTGGGTTATACCAATCATTTCTGTCTGGACAAATTTTACTGTGTGTTCACACTTGGCCTGTTTGGTTGGATTAAAACGAACCCTGGTGCGATTGCTCTGTTAGTGCGGTTCATTTGAATAAGTGTGAACGCTGCCATCTGAACCCTGGGGTCACCAAACAAGCTGAGACACCCATTACTCTGACCTGCAGAAACCCACACAAAAGAAATTAAAAGTAGTTTCAATAAAAAAAAGGGGTTGTAAATAATGTAAAGAACCAAAGACAGGACCTACACACACCCCTGTAGAAGTTGCAGTTAAACTACACCTTTCCTCAGAAAAATCCCCCACCTAGGTCCAGCACATGCTTTTCCAGCATCTTCCCCACATTTGACCTCGACAACGTGAAAAAGATGGATCTCGGAGAGAGATCTTCATATTCTGCCTCTTTCCTATTGACTTCATGATTGAAACGACTGAAAAATATGTCTTGAGGTGTGGTACTGGTACCAGTGACAGCGGACTGTTGAATTACTGGATATGTTTAGTGTGTCTGTGTAGTGTGTAAGCATTGAAGTGCATAGATCGACGGCCCTTCGTCAATGATTCCTTATTTAAACTCCTTTGCCATCTTATATGTAAAGCACAAGGGCTCAGAAGGACAGAGATCAAAGTCCACGTTTATTAACCTATAAATACAGGAAGATGATTACGCACGTTACCAAGTTGAGGTTTAATATAGGCTCCTGTAAAGCATGTCTTAAACTAACTCGTTAAAAATAGAGTTGAGGGACAGAAATAAGGATCTTCATTAAGTATAATCTTTCTCAGACGATTGTTCCTGCTCACAGATGCAGATATGATGCGCTGTCAGCCTTTGTTCTTTGGCTTCTGTTTGTGTTTCGCTCACATCAGTGGATCACAGGTAAATATAATGGTTATATTGCAGTGTGTGTGACCAATGCACATAAAACGTATTAATGTGTAAAGAGTCCTATTTGCTTTTAAACCTGTTGAAACGAACTCTGCTGTTCAGAACGCAAACAGACCCGTCGCCACACCGGAAGAGGCTTATTTCGCCGAGGCGTTTGACGCAAACACGCTGGACAGGTTCGGTTTCGGAAACTCACTGACAACATACATAATACAGTTTATGGGTGTTTCTGCAACTAATGGCACAAAGTCCCGGCAGATTTTAGATTTATGTTCAAATTTGTCATATGATGTTTAATACAAACACTATCATACATTGACATAAAAATAATTACTGGTTTATATGATTTAATGAAAAATTATGAAGCATTCATAGGTTAAAACACCATTATTGTTCATGTCTCAACTGTGGTCTCAGTCCTGAGGTATGTAAAATGAGCTAATTCTTTTACAGTTTGACATTATTTCAAATTAATCAGTTTAATATAAATATCACTTTACTTTTTTTTTGTCCTACACTCTGAAAAATACTTTTAATAAAGCATTTGTCTAGTTTCTATGGAAACAGAAATTAGCACATGGCTGCCAGATTGGGCCACCCACGTCACTCAAGATCCAGAAAAATAAGATAAAGATCATCTTTTCTTCTGAAGTATTTATTGTGTCCTCACCATACAGCTTTGTATGCTATATAATTGTGTATTTTGAACTACATTTAATAAAAAAAAAAAAGTTATATTACTGTTCAATATTATAACAAAATGCCACAGCAATGTTTTGTTTTAATTATTATTCAGATAATTTTAAAACTTTAGTACATTTGATTAAACACATTAAAATGAAAATTCATTCAATGTCAAGATATTGCAAGATATGTTATCTTTTGTGTTTATGAACTAATTGATTTCTAAGGCTACTGTCTAACTTTTCCATGGCATAAAGAAAATCGTAAAATCCCCTAATTTTAAATGTTTATATTTATATATATATATATATATATATATATATCAGTATTTACAAAAATGCACAAATCTTGAAAATCTTAAAGCTATTTAAATGTCTTACATTTTTATAAAAATTAAAAAAGAAACGTGAATAAAATGAATGTTACTGTAATGTTGCGGGTAAGCATAAAAAAATATTTTATATTTCAGATAAAAAATTTAATGGCATGCAATTGTGTGTACATTTTAAAATGTATTACAGACTGATTAATTAATTAATTAAAATTCAAAGGTGTTGATTTTTTTATTTTATTTTTATTTGGGAGAGTCGAAAGTGACCGTAGTTGCAGAAACACCCATATATATAAATAATATAAAATATTAGTTTGCATTGCATCAAAGTTATGTCGAGTTATTAAGTGATGGTTGCTCATTAACATCAAATGTTATTCACTTGTCTCCTTGTTTGCATTGAAGAAACTGGGTTTTGTCCAAAGCGGTGCAAGATCAGCAACTGAAACTTCTCAAATATAATGGTATATGCATTTTGTGAATATAAATTTGAATATTGAAAACACTGTAGGGTAACACTTAACTTGAAGGGGTGTGCAAATGACTGTTATGACACCTTCATAATCAGGGACATGACATATGTCATGAATATGAAGGAGGTTTATGCATGTTTATGACAACTGTCATTAAGTGTCATTCGCTCAATTATGACATTTTTAATGCAAATATGACATTGTTTGAGATGTCTTTGTTATGACAACTTGACATAAACCAATACATCATAACCTGTCAGTGTCTTTGTAATGACAACTTGACATTACCAAGACAACATAAATTGTCATAAATATGTCATAAACATCACATAGCAGATTGATTATCAAACTTAAGAAACCACTTAGCTTTATGGGTTAACATTACATTAAACTGTCATGTGGTTGGTTTTTACATTGGCTGTCATGAGGCCATTATAACTCATCTCAAACAATGTCATATTTGCATTAAAAATGTCATAATTCAGCAAATGACACTTAATGACAGTTGTCATAAACATGCACAAAACGTCCTTCATATTCATGACATGCGTCATGTCATGATTATGAAGGTGTCATGTCAGTCTTATGCACACCCCTTCAAGTAAAGTGTTACCCAATGGGGCAGCATTAAAATGTGAGTTATACAGTCAGCCATTCATTATAACAAAATAACGCTGAAGGATGATCAGGACGTGATGCGGGTCTGAAGGAAGGGGTTTATTGTGCAATAATGACCTGCTGACCGTACTGTATATTATTCTGCTCTTTACAATGCTACTTAAATACATGGCAATATGAAAAACCTTTATGTACACAGGTGAGTGGGTAGTAGAGGAACCAAGTGAACCAAGATTTGTGGGAAACAGAGGCCTGGTCCTCAAATCCCCTGGGAGACACCACGCCATATCCACGTACCTGAGGAAAGTGTACCACTTTAAAGACAAACCGCTTTGCTTACAGTAAGATATTTTGATCAATTTGCTTCTATCCTTAAAACACACATACAATCGCTTGACTAAATCTTCTTTGGAAACATCTGCAGGTATGAAGTTTTCTTCCAGAAGCTGGTTGATTGTGGTGGAGCCTACATTAAGTTGCTTTCTCATTCAGATGATCTTCGTTTGGTAACACTTACATTTCACATACTCCTGTTACGCACCGGAACAGGTTTAGCTTGGTGTATTAAAACACGGAGAACAGTTTATTAAATGAGACAAACCGTCAAATCTTTACATTTTAAAAAGAGATTCACGATAAATAAAAGTGCTTTCTCTACAGGACAGAATACACTGAGTTGTCATTGTCGTTTTAGAGCCAGTTCAGTGATGCCACCCCGTACACCATCATGTTTGGTCCAGATAAGTGTGGCAGTGAACACAAGATACATTTCATCTTTAGCCATCGCAATCCCATCACAGGGACGTATGAGGAGAAACATGCTCGGCAACCAGAAGTGGATCTGAGTGACTATTTTATTGACCAGCGTCCACATCTCTACACTTTAAGTGAGTAGTCAGTAAAGAAATACATGTTCAGTGACAGTGACAATACTGTGATTTGAAGTAAGTTTACATTCTAATAAACTAGACAGTTCAATTTTAATAGGAAATCTTTTGTATGGAAAGTGTCTAATCTTGCATAATGACATGCTGGTTGCAATTTTATTTGAGTGAAAATGTTCTTTTCAGACTTGTATCCTGACAACACTTTTGAAATCTTCATTGACCTGACACTGATAAACAAGGGCAGTCTTTTGGATGATATGGACACTCACGAAACACAGGGACCTGAATATTCATCACATGCGGCTTTAGTGGACGGGGTTCAATCTTCTGACCTTAAGTTGGAACATGAAAGGTATGCTGATTTTTTTTTAAATAAAGTTATTTATACACTGAGAGATATCTGATAGATGAGTTGTAACAGTGTTTTGAAACCTGTTTAATATTAGCTCCTCCTGGATCAGTTTAAACAAAGTGGGTTTTAATCTTCATTGGTTTAGGAATGAATGAATTGTTTGAATGACTGGCTCTTGTAATCTTCAATCTTCACTCACAGATGAAGTCCCCAATTCACACGTGTGGACACAACCAACATTGACTCTCTTTGAACACTCAACAAGGGAACCGTCTCTCTGACAGTTCTCTGAAATCTGACAAATCTCTTTTTCAGAGCATTTAGAAGAAAAAGACATATTATGGATGTTCTTGTAGGAATTTATTGAAATTTATGACTTAAAGTAAAAGAGCTGCAATACCTTCCCAATTTTGAGTGGACAACGACTTCCAAGTTGCATTAGTAAAATGTATACAAGTATGTCGATGTGCCAATGTGAAATTAACCTTAAAGCGTTAGTTCACCCAAAAATGATTGTGTAATTTTTCTGTCAATTCTGTCTTTAATTACTCGTCCTCATGTCGATCTAAACCCATAAGACTTTCGTTCATCTTCGCAACACAAATTAAGATATTTTTAATGAAATCGGAGAGCTTTCTGTCCCTCCATCACATATAAACTTGACGTGCAAGAACCAATGAGGTTCATTCTCGTGTTACGCATCACGTTTGAGCTTCAGCAAGAACCAATGAGGTTCATTCTGGTGTTACGCAGCACGTTTGAGCTTCAGCAAGAACCAATGAGGTTCATTCTGGTGTTACGCAGCACGTTTGAGCTTCTGCAAGAACCAATGAGGTTCTTGGTTGAGCTTCTGTTTATGTTCGCTGATCGATGTTAATGTGAGTAAAAGCCTAAATTCAGTCTGTTTTTAATCTAAAAAAAATTCAATCTAAAGCTCAATTCATATGGATTAGTTTTACGATATCTATATTTATATGAATATATATTTATATGATTATATGGCGTCAAAGTGGTAGTTGCGTAGCTCTCAATGGAGGGACAGAAATCTCTCAGATTTCATCTAAAAGATCTTCATTTGTGTAAAGAAGATGAACGAAAGTCTTATGGGTTTTGAACGACGTGAGGACTAGTATATGATGACAGAATTTTAATGTTTTGGGGTGAACGATCCCTTTAATACTGATCATGCAGTCTTTAAGTAGACTTGCCCACTGAAGCTGAGCAGGGCTGAGTTTGGTCAGTACCTGGATGGGAGACTCCTGGGAAAGCTATGTTTCTGCTGGAAGAGTTGTTAGTGAGGCCACTAGGGGGTGCTGCTCACCCTCTGTGTGGGTCCTAACACCCCAGTATAGTAATGGGGACACTATACTTTTAAACAGCACTGTCCTTCAGATGAGACGTTAAAGCGAGGTCCTGACTCTCTGTGGTCATTAAAAATCCCAGGATGTCCTTCATAAAAGAGTAGGGGTGTCCTGGCCAAATTTGCCCATTTGCAAGTTTTGCCACAAGAACAAACTTAAGGGTAAAAAAAGGCCATTCTCAAGAGTTTTTTCTTTCTGAATTTAGAGAATAAGAAATTATGAGAAGAATTTTATTAAAAATGTTTAGTGAATCCATTTCCTTCTTAGCCTTTATCCCTTGGGACAGAAAATAGAATAGAATAGAATATACTTGTTTCTCTCAAAAACAATCTCTTGGTGAATTTGGAATTTTTGAATGGTAGTGTAAATTTGATTTGATACAATAAGAATGCTTTGAACACTAATTATCATTATTTATATATATATATATATATATATATATATATATATATATATATATATATATATATATATATATAGGGGAGAGAGAGTTCTGTACAGACTACGACGTAAACTTGAGTCTGTATTGTAAAAAGACTTACATAAATAAACTTGACTTAACTTGGCTTATGTTTGTCCATTACAAGCCACATCAATCTGTAGTCGTGTGTATGTGTGTTTGTTTGGACAGGTCAGATGGTGTGGCGTCGCCTCATGAGCGTTCATCTCGTCCTGCATTATCAAATCCAGAGAGCCGACCCAGCACAAACCCGAATGATAAAGTAGGCTGGCCCTCCGAAATATCTCATTAGCATTTTCCGTGTGCAGTTCATCATTGTCCTCGTGTGTTTGTTGTGTTAGGACAGCAGAGAGCAGCGGTTCAGCATGAGCCCCGTCGCTGCTGTGGGATTTGAGCTGTGGACCCTCACCGGAGACGTGATGTTTGACAACATCTTTCTCTGTGACAGTCTGGAAGTAGCCAGGCGTTGGACTGAAGACACGTGGAGCAAGAGGAAGGCAGTAAGCAACAGTTAAACTGTCCCATGATCCTTTAACTGGAACAGGTCTGCATCACCAAACTGACTAGCCAAAGTAACGGATTACTTTTTTTAAGAAGTAACGAGTAACGAGTTACACTACTTTTTAAAAGTAACTTCCCCAACACTGACAGCCGGTCTGCATCACCAAACTGACTAGCATCTGTGATAAAGAGCATTTCGCATGTTCTGTCATAATCTGTCTCATTTAGCATGCAGCTCTTATAAGCTCACATTAATGAGACCACATGCATCCAACATACTTCATCCACTGACACCCGATTAAAGTGATCTAGTGAAGGCAAAATGTGAAGAAATGGCGACCAGGTCGGTAACACTTTACAATAAGGTTCATTAATTAACATTAGTTAACTAGTTAATATGAACTAAGAATGAACAATACTTCTACAGCAGTTATTAATCTTTAGTTATTATTAATTTCAACATTTACTAATACATTATTAAAATCAAAGGTTGTATTTGTTAACATTAGTTAATGCACTGTGAACTTACATGAACAAACAATGAACAGCTGTATATTTATTAACTAATATTAACAAAGATTAATAAATACTGTAACAAATGTATTTCTCATTGTTAGTTCATGTCAGTTAATACATGAACTAATGTTAACTAATGAACCTTATTGTAAAGTGTTACCACCAAGTCTAGTGATAAGATATAAGATACTCGTTCACTTACAATCAAGGAAATTTAAACCAAAAATGTGTTTTTCATATGTTTTAAAATAATTAACAGTAAATTGATCACTTCTGTTTCACACTGTCCTCTTGTAGCCTGGAATGATCGAGAAGCTGTTGATGGCGACGGTCAAGCGGCCGTGGCTCTGGGGTGTCTATGTGTTCACTGTGGGCCTTCCCATCATCCTCTTCATTAGTTTCATGTGGCCTAATAAGGTACATAAATGAATACAAATATTCACAAAACAACTTTCATTTGGGATTGTTTCAATATTGTGTATGTGTGTGTGTATTTTAGCGGTTTGGTCCACCAGACCAAAATTATTACTATAAAAAAACAGACCAGCCTCAGACAGATGGAGCCCAGCACAGGGAGGAACACGTCACTCATCATGATGGTGAGAGATGCTTACAGGACCTGCGAAACTGCACTGTGCTCAGCATAAAATTCATTTATTTTTGTGTGTGTTTTAAGGTGTAAATCAAACACGAGTTGAGGCTAAAAGCAGAGCGGTCAAGAGGGCTCCGAGAAGCTCAGAAGTAACGAGTTAACAGTGAGTATGATACGGACAGGGTGAATCTCATGTCCAGGTCACATGTCGCCCCCAAAAATACAGTCTGCATTCTCATTACTGTAATGTGGACAAAAAGACCAATTTAATGGCAAAATAAGTAATAATTTATGGTGGTATTTGGTATTGTCACAAGTTGACATGGGGCGTCATGTTAAGTCAACTCAAGTCACCTTTATTTATATAGCGCTTTTTACAATATTGTTTCAAAGCAGCTTTACAGTGATACAAAGTTTGTTTCTGCTGTACAGCAGATCTAGAACAAAATAGCATCATAGACCAGCGATGGTTCATTTTTGTTGTAAAAAAGTTATTAATTTAGTTCATTTATATATATATATCCACTCTGGGGAAAAAAACGGTGATGTCATCATAATGGTGTCAATGCAGGCAATATTATTGTTGAATATTAAATTCTATCTAATATTAAATCATGGGGGGGCTCTGCAGCGGACCCTTTTATATGGTCATTTTTGAGGGCCTCTGTGGCCTACCGCTTTTCACATACAGTAACCAAACTTCATACACTTATAGATCTCATCAAGCCGAACGAACAACTTGTGCCAGCCTAACAGGAAGTCGGCTATTATGGGTTGTTTGAAAAACGCATGCTCTTGAATTTGATATACTTCTAGCCAAATCACCCAATTCGCCTTTGGCTAAGCCCCGCCCCCTTTAGTTACTGTTGCTACGTCCGACAAACAAACTTCATCTGGGCTCTGGTATCAACATGGCTTATGCTGTGACAGCTCTTCCTGCTGAAATTTTATCAAACTTTTATAAAGGAGCAAATAAAGTGTCCGATAGAAGTAGGCAATGTGGGCTGCAATATACGTTCGAAGGCTATATTCACGACATACAGGTGAAACGCAAGGAACAACAAGGCATCCAAATAGAGGCAAAAGCATACCGGTCACAGTCAAAAAATGAACCACCGCATATCCTACTAATCGAGACGGAGGCTGGGACTAACAATATCAAGGAGCAACACTGTTCATGCAAAGCTGGGTAGGTCTCTATTCACTTCTATAATCGTTATTACAAAGCAAACGGACTACGCGAGTATAACGTTGTATTTATTAGCAGCGTGAGCTACACTTGTCAGGATTTGACTTCGGTTTTGGGAAGGGAAACCCCCCTCCAACCTCTCTGGGAAACGCGTATCTGTGTTACAAATGCCCCAGGCACAATGTTTAACCATATTTTTGATAAAACTACGACGGCAATAGCCGGCCGACACCAAAAATATGAGACGCCTGTGTTAAAGTCAATGGAGCGCTGTGAAAAAGTGTCGGACCTCTGTGGGAGCTCGTTCTTGGCTGCGCTGTGATTGGTCAATCTACATTCTAGGGTGTGGCTTAGCCAAAGGCGAATTGGCACCAATCTCGGTGAACCTGAAGTCAAGGCATTGAGGATGATAAATTGCAAGCGGAGTTTTGATATCTCGAACGGTTTGGCCGTGGTGTTGAAACAAATTTGTGGCGAGAAAAGGGAAACAGGAAGTGTGCTATACCTTCTGCATACATTCATTGATTTGGATGAAACTTCAGCTGTGTGTTCGTTGTAAGAGGCCGATCACATGGATGTGCTTTTTGTGAGTCAAAGTTATAGCGCCAACAACTGGCAGCAGGAAGTGTGTCACTTTCAAAATGCTTTGAAATCACCCTCTTATTTTTGACCAGATTTGCTTCAGTCTTCATCAGAATAATCCTGACATGTTTTCATGGGATTTGACCCATGATGTTTCTGTCATTCCATAGATGTTGTTTACAGCCCCAATGGCTAAATGTATATTTCATTATTCTTTCATTTTCACAGTTCACAGAGTCAGTGGCAAACCTCAGCAGAGTGACATCAAGCATCATGTTAGTCCACGTCAGTCAAGCTTCCATCAGCCGGCAATCAGCTGTTCATTTTTATCACCGAGGTTCATTTAAATCCCCATTCATTCAGCCACTCTTCTTTAGCACGACTGCATGCTAAATTTCTGTAATCTAATCTGATATCTGTTTTGGGACTGTACTCAGTAATTACATTGTAATCATCCTTCCTCATGTATTTTGGCTCGTTTTGTGAAATGTAATTATGTATGCATGATTACTGGATCTGTTATGTTACCCCAAGGGGAGTTTGACGTGCTGCTCTTCCCGCTGTGTTCATCTCTGCGTGGACGGCGCGTGGAGTTTGCCCAGAACACAACCACACCGCCAACACTAACTGTATGCATTATCATTATAATAAAGTATACATTTGACAAAGGTGGTCCTGACTGAACTGTTATCATCCTGTTTTACAGTTTTTACAATTGCTATGACAGATTTTTCAATACGTTTAACAATTTTCCAAAACTCTTAACACAGTTAGCACTACATCCGTCTGTGTAAGCTATACTATTAACACATTTCTTGTTGCTTTAACACAAAATGCATACAATTAACACAAATTTAAAATGCTTGAACTTCTTTTACACACAAGCTCAAACAAGACCAAAACAATGGATTTTTACTACCAAATTTACCAATGCTTTAACACCGTATGTCAGAACAGATAACACCATGTTCTAAACCTAACCTTACAGGCTAAAGTCAAGGTAAACAGCTGCTTATATTGTGAATTGAAACACAAATATATCCCCTGTATTTTATTTTATTGTTACTGAGAAACAGCTGATTGAATAATGCAAATATGGGACAATGTGGCATTTCACAATTCCAGTGCAGTCACGGCCTGGTTTGATCCCATCAGAGGATGATGTCCATTTTCCTTGCCCATTACTCCCCTTTCCCTTTCTTAGCCTGGAGATGGAAGGTTTTTGACCATCGTCCACAAGACCAAATGTCCCTCCTGGATGCAATGGATGCTGCATGCCAAGACATCCCAGCTGAACACCTCCAGGGGAGGATAAGGAATGCCAAATGATTCTTCCCAAGAAGTCTTACCAGAGAAGTGTGATGTGGATGAGAACATGTGGCCAAATGGAGAAGACCGGGATGATTAGAAGATGGCTTTTTCTGTTTGTATATTTTGTATTTTCACCTACACTAATGCTGTAAATGGCAAGTATTGCATATTTTTATTATCTTGCAGAAATGTCCTGTTGCAAATAAAGCCTTTACTGCACCAATTCTGTCTCTGTCTTCTTTTTTTCATAAACCGTACATTCTATTCTGCTATTCTGAGAAGGGTCATTCATTTTTTTGTATTGAATTTCTACAACATAGGAAAAAAATGCACACATTTGCTAAACCCAAACAAAACAAAACTGTAGAGAGGCTTCAAAATAAACTGCAGTGCAAAACAATCTTCTGTATAAACAATACAATATACTGTCTATTGTATAAGGGCAGATCTGACATACTGTATATAAAATAATGCAGTTTCTGTAATTCCAGCTCATGTTAGTGTTTTTTATGACATTGTGCTATGATTGACTAAATGTCCCTGTTGGAAGAGAACATGTGTTAGTGTTTTGGTAGACATAGTGTATTGTGTTGTGTATATAGTAAAATTAGTGTTGGAGTGTAGTTTACAGTGCGTGATTTTGAGCATGAAATTAACCGTTTTGCCAATTGTGTGTTGTAGGTGTGTTGGTGCGTTAAGAGTTTAGAAACTTTGTTAAAAGTATTGAAAAAATTGTCATAGCGATTGTAAAAAACTGTAATAGTGTGAAATGATGAGATGCTGTGCAGATTTACATTCATCTCTTGTAATCGAGCCAACATATTATTACAAATAAAACTAATTAGGCAAATTCTCACAGCTGTAACCGTGCAGAACTATTCAGGCCTTTGTTCATTTTAAACCAGTGACTCTTTTTGTTCTAGTGTAGAATTAAAAATTGTCATTTTAATGTGATATCATTGCATTGAAAGTTACTACATTTTTGTGACAATGTATTGTTGAGTCTCTTCACAGACTTGAGCTTTATACTAATACCATTTCTAAGACAGCTTAATATATATTTTTTGAACATATGTTTTTAAACATATTACAAATGTTTATGTATATATATATTTTCTTAAGTAAATCAAGATTTACAAGAATGACAAAATTGACAGGAAGAATAATCAGTCAAATGTGCATTTCTATCTCTATAAAGCTGCTTTGAAACAATCTGTATTGTAAAAAGCGCTATATAAATAAATGTGACTTGACTAAAAAGACAACTTATCAAGACAGAAAATCTATTAAAAAAAAATTAAGCAGGTCAGTGCTTCTAATATGTACTTCTTTCACAATGCAAGTTATTAGACTGCGTCTGTCAAAATACATATGTTCCACCCAAATTATACCCTTCACCAAGGTCTAAAGCTACGTCCTTGCTTCAGGTTGAATGATTCTGATTGGCTGAGAAATAGATAAACATAGTAATTTTCCACACCCTCTCAACCGATGGCGACAGCCTCCCAGATGTCAGGTCCCGAGTCAACAATGCCTGATTGAAATGGCACCAAGTCACTGGTGTCCTCTGCGATAAACGCATGCCCAAACACCTCAAGGCAAAGATCTATAAGACAGTCGTCTGTCCAGTCGCCCTATATGGAGCGGAGTGTTGGCCCGCGACCAACAGGCACCAACAGGCCCTTCATGTAATGGAGATGCGGATGCTCAGGTGGACGCTAGGGCTGACCCGATGGGACCAAGTAATGAATGAGGACGTCAGAAAGACCATGGGAGTAGCACCGATTATGGAGAAGATGAGGCCACGTAGTCAGGAGCGAGAAAGAGTCAATAGCGAAGAGGTCCCTGCGTCTCAACCCTGAAGGAAAGCGACCCCGAGGAAGACCAAAGAAGCGATGGATGGATCGGATAAAGGAAGATATGAAACATGACAATGCCGCCCCCGAAGATGCCCTCGATCGGAAGAAATGGAGAGCAACCTGCCGAAAATCGGACCCCGCATTACGAAGGGACAAACGCTATAGGAGAGAGAGAGTAATTTTCCACACATATACAGATAGATTGAGGCATATCTCCATCGATTATGCAGCTGACACTCGGACCCTGAAGTTAGGCACGTCGTGACCTTCCAGTCAATCTACAATAATGCAGTTGTTCCTTAACATGTAACCAATAAGACTAACACACACCGACACACAGCTTTTTCAAGGTTGGATTTGGCCAGGCTCGAACTATAAACATGATAGTCCTCTCAAAACATTCTTTCTCTCAAGGAGAAAACACTTTAGTCTAACTGGAAAGTAAGGCTTTAACTATACGAAATGGTCCCTCAGACTATTGGTTCCATTGACCCCTGTGACTATAGCTGTCAGAGTACCCCAGAAAAGCAGATGTACACTGTTAGACCTTACCAGGTTTTTTTACAGTAAAATACTGGCAACTGTTAATTGTACAGTTATTTACTGTAATCTACAGTATGTTACTGTAAAAATTAACTAAATTAAAACTCAAATTAACTAATTTCACTTGCAGAAACCGACTGCCTTAAATTTACCAACTCTCATTTAAATGTATCAACAAAAATTTAAAGCTCCTGTAGGTAACTTTTGAAAACATGTATTTGCTAAAACTGTCATTATGTCCTGACAGTAGAATATGAGACAGATAATCTGTGTAAAAATCAAGCTCCTCTGGCTCCTCCTAGTGGTCCTATTGCCATTTGCAAGAAATACACGCTCCCGGTCAGAAACAACCAATCAGAGCCGGGAGGAGTGTCTTAGCACTGTCAGTCACGCTCGTGTACGCGCTGATCACACCCCTCTCTTGCACAGCGCGAGCGCCGGAGCGCGAGCCGTCGTTCAAACTCAAGATTGCCGGCGTGCTGCAGCTGTGCTTATGACGGAGAAACAACCTAAACTGCCAATTCTCGAGTGACACCTGCTCATAAAACAAAGAGGTAAAAGGAAAAAGACTGATGACGATAAACAAGCGAAAAAGAAAGAATTACACAGAGCCCATTGACTCGGTGTCAAAACTCTAGCCGCATCACATGTAGATAAAATGTCACGCACTCTGCTAAGCAACAATTGAAACCTGCTAATTCACTGGCTTGTCATGTTGCTGAAATAATGTACTAGCACACCTTATCTAGCATTATATATCGCTAGAATAATTACTTACATACTCTAACGTTAGTTACCGTTATATTAACGCTATCTTACTAGCTATTTATAACTTATAGAAAGAGTGCAACGTTATAAAGTTACATGTAAGCTATTGGAAAATACATAATGATTTGAGGACCAAGTTTGTAGTCAAAGTATGGGCAGGCCATAGTCAATGTAAAGCATATTATTGACGTTTAGTCCCAATTAGTGAATGTGCCATATAACTTTTTATCTGCCGTCATTGGTGGCCCTGTTTACTAGCCTGCGCGTTCACGACAGGCTCCGCTGTGGAGGACGAGCTGTGGAGGGAGGGCTGTAGCGCAGCAGAGAGCAAGGGGGTGGGACCTGTAAGTTGTGCTTGTTCAAATTTTCAGGCTAAGTCAACGTTTTCTCAAAACTCCCTACTGCAGCTTTAAAATATACTAATAATGTGAAATAAAGTATTATTGCGAACTTATTTCATTTGACACCACTAAAAAACTATTGTACATAAAAAGATTTCCACTGGATCAGCAACTACACAGTCACCGCTTGTTAAATAAAGCAATGATGCAGCGTATCATTAATGTTTGTAGATCTTCTCCTGCACTGAAGCACAGGCTCTAGTCTTCAGCACAACGGTGACCCCAAAAAAATTATTTTACAGTAAACTACTGGCAACAATGTTGCCAGTATAAACCTGTTTTATAACTTACAGTTTATTACTGTTAAAATACATTTCGTGGGTGTGTCTTTTTATCTTACACTGTTAACCCTTTCAACCTCACAGAAAAATACACACTACAAAGAGTAAAAAGTAACATTGACGCAGTGTTTCAGTGAGATAATTAAGTGAATATGTCAGTGATTGTTGAGCATTAGTGATGAACACCTGCTGTTAACAAGCAGAATCACTGAAGGAAAGAGGAACAGA